TTATCATCAATATTTATATATTTTTTTATGTCATAAACCCTTTATGTTACAATGTTCAATATTAGTTATGTCATTATAATATACAATAACTTCCATTTAATCCTTTCATTTAATAAATTTAAAGTGATTAGCTACTTGACAGATGATATCTAGATATATTGTTTTAAATTTACAACAGACGTTTTTATAATTTCTAATGTTTCTAATGATTTTTTAAACCCGTTTTAAATTATCTTAGTCTCTTAAGCAGGTAACCTACTTATTTTTAATAATTACTTTGTGACCACTAAAAAGAAGGACACCTATTGTGAATATATAAAGAGTTCAGATGCAAAAACCTTTTAGTGCCATCTCAAATTTTCATCTAATATTACCATTTGTCTCAGCCTCAGGTTTATGTCTTGGTCAAGAAATTTCCCTTTTATGGTAAATAATGAGTTATTTTTATTGCTTTCAACATGAAATAACTGAAAAATTACAGATGGTACTTCGAGGTTTTTGCAATTTCAAATACCCATATCATAGCTTCTAAACAAAACAATTCCGACTAATGCCCAAAAGAGGGCGCAATTCTCTAAGAAATGGCTTATCATCAATAATTGAATCTTTCTATGGCATTAACCCTCAAATAATGCAATGCATTTTGTTCAATATTAGTTATCATGTCAGACTATAATATCAGACTAATTAATCCTTCCATGATTTAAAATGATTAGCTACTGAGAGATGATTGAATATGAATTTCACTCAGTATCTAGCTGAATACAATGTTTTAAACAGTTTCACCACTTTAGGGTCACACAAATCCTCCCTTTTGGACTCAATAAATGTAAATGTATCCATCAAATGCAATTCAATATAATTCAACTTGGGGCTCAGTGGTTAACACTGTCGCCTCACAGCAAGAAAGTCGGTGGTTCGAGTTCCAGCTGGGTCAGTTGCCATTTCTGTGTTTGATCTGGGTGCTCCGGTTTACCCCACAGTCAAAGACATGCACTATAGGGAAATTGGATGAACTAATTTGGTCGTAGTTTATAAGAGTGTGTGTGAATGAGATGTTTCCTAGAATTGGGTTGCAGCTGGAAGTGCATGCGCTGTGCAAAACATGCTGGATGAGTTGGTGATTCATTCTGCTGTGATGACCCCTGATGAATAAAGGGATTAAGCTGAAGGAAAATGATTGAATGAATCATATTTGTGGCCAACTATATAGCTGGGAAGTATTTTTAGCTGAAATGTCTTGTTTTGTTTCTGTTTTGTCAATTTTTTGTCTCCACAGTTACTAAAAGGTTGCACACCTGTTTCCAGTTTAGTTATATGTGTGTTCTCCTCAGTGTTGTTGCTTTTGTTGTTATCTCAAAGATTTTAGAGAAGATCGTGTCTGTACAGCTAAATTATTTCTTGGTTAATAATATTTTTGATAAGTTTCAATCCGGTTTTAGAGCTGGTCATAGCAGAGTCCGCTCTATTGAGAGTTTTAAATGCATTTTGTTGGAGGTTGATTCAGGTAGCCCTGTTGGATCTTAGTGCTTCTTTTGACACAGTTGATCATGAAATTCTCATTGGCTTAGAGAACACGCTGCTATCCTGGGTCTATAGCCTTGAATTGGTTCTCTTCATATCTGAAGGATAGAACCATCTCAGTCAGTTTGGGCAACTCTTGTTCTTCTGTCATATAATTAATGTGTGGGGTTTGATACTGGGGCCTGTTTTGTTTTCTCTTGTTTCCATTGGGAAAAATCTTTGAAAAGCATGGCATAAATTACTATCTGATGCTGATGACTTTCAAATCTACTTCCCTAAAAAATCTGGGGATCAATCCTCCCTTCAGGCTTTGTTTATTTGTCTGGCTGATGTGAAGTGTTGCTTAGCGAATAACTTCCTCCAACTGAATGAGGACAAGTGTGAAGTTATTGTTTTCGGTCTAAAGGCTCAGATTCTAACAGCAATCCCTCATTGCTTCCTGGTAAGATACATTCCTCTGTAAAAAGTCTTGTTGTTATTTTTGACTATGAGCTTGAATTGTATTGCCAAATGAATGCGGTTGTCAAAAATAGTCTTTTCTATCTTAGATATATTGGCAAGCTGAAGTCTGTTCTCTTTCAGTGACTTCAAGAGTTCACACTTAGCTGATGATTGATTATAAAGCTTGTTTGGCATGCTGTCCCGGAGGAGAGCCCTGAGCTAATGAGATCCTCGAGCCCTCAGCTCCCTCTCATTTGCAGGGCGAGAGGGGAGTTTAAGCTTAGTTAGATCTGGAGAACTCCCCTCTGCTTATTTCTAGCTAAATGACGGATATGAATGACTGAGGAGAGGTGTACTCGCCAGGAGCTTGGTTATGGTATCAATATTGTGTTCAAGTTACCTAGATTGTGTGTTTTTGGACTGTTAGAGGAAACCCGAGAACCCGGGAAAACCCACGCGAGCACAGGGAAACAAGCAAAACTCCACACAGAAATTTTATCTGGTTTAGTAGGGACTTTAACCAGAGACATTCTTGCTGTGAGGCAACAATGCTAATCAATGGGCCACCGTGTCGTCCATCTGGAAATGAGGGGAGTAGGGGTGGGTAGGAGGAGTTCTTCAAGACGAAGATATTGAGATAAGAAAACTCTGGTTATTTATAGTGAGTTAGGAATCATCTGATTGGAGAATCAATGAGCTGATGTGGGAACAGATGAGAACAATCATAAGCACGTGATCCTCCTGAAATTAGTTTATAAATAAACATCACGTGTTCCCAGAGATGGGTTGCGGCTGGAAGGGCATCCGCTGCGTAAAAACTTGCTGGATAAGTTGGCGGTTCATTCCGCTGTGGCGACCCCAGATTAATAAAGGGACTAGGCTGACAAGAAAATAAATGAATGAATAAACTTCACGTGGAGAAGGTTGTTCATGCCTTCATCTCTTCTCGTTTGGATTATTGCAACGCATTGTATCTGGGCGTGAGTCAGGCCTCTCTCTCTCTCTCAGCTGGTCCAGAACTCAGCTGCCAGGCTTTTAACAGGCACAAAAAAAGGAAAGCATATCACACCTGTACTGGTTTCCCCACACTAGATACCAATCCAGTTTAGAATTCAGAACAAAGAACGGTTGTGTTTTTGAAGCCCTCCATGGCCTGGCCCCTAGGTATATTTCTGAGCTAATTAATTTACACCAACCCGTGAGATCTCTTCGCTCTAAGTAGGGTTCATGCGGTCATAGAAAACCTGGAAAAGTCATGGAATTTTGACACGGCATTTTTCAGGCCTGGAAAAGTTTTGGAAAAACAGAAAAACCCACAGTTTTGGAAAAGTCATGGAAATTAGTTTCACAAATATCTGTATACTTAACCTAGGGCTGCGCGGTATTGGAAAAATCTGACATTACCATATTTTGTATTACTGTGATATATATTGTGATGTGAATACAATTTCACCAGATGATTTAACAGGTTTATTTGGATTGATTAGGGGGATTTTGTAGAGGAGTGAATCTCGAGTAATATATACAAAAATAAAGGACAAGCAAAGATAAATAAAATATAGTAAAGACAAAAGTGAATGATAGTTTTCATGTATTCATCATTCAGGTACAGATATTGACTAATCAACACTGCATAGTCTTCATTCTACATTATTTAATCTTTATTAAAGTTACAAAAAACTTCTTGTGGCCGGATGTTTTCAACTCTGAAATTTTGAAATGTTCACACAGTCACAGGCCTTAAAGGGACAGTTTACTCAAAGATTAAAATGTACTCACTATTTACTTGTTTCAATACTATAGGAATTAATATATCTTCTTTTTGTGTTCATTTAAAAAAAAAAGAAAGAAAAGAAAACTCATAAATGTTTGAAACAAGTCAAGGGTGTAATAAATGGTAAGTAATTTTTGGGTGAACAATCTCTTTAAAAATGCATGCAGATGATAAACCTTTACTCCATTATGATTAAACTCTATATTAAACTATAATCAGAATTATATAATTGTATATATAGTATATAATTATATAATTGCAGATGCACACATTGCGATATTGATCCTGAAACAATATATTGTGCAGACCTAACTTGAATATAGGTTAGTTGTCTTTACTTTTTTTTCTGTCCTTGGCCAAAAACTTGCTCTCACATTGTTAGTGCTGTTTAAGCTTTATCAAAATCAATTTTACTTAGATATAAAAACAAATTGAAACAAAATAAATTGTTGCGTGCTCTATGATATGCTGAAATAAATTTGAACGTCATTGTTTTTCTTATTATTTATCATGTATATGAAGACATTACATGAAACATTACGTCATGAAAATGTAGTTGAATGTTCTGGAAAATGTTTTGGAAGCCATGGAATTTTAGTAGTAAAAATGCACTGCAAAAAATGCTTTTCTTACTTAGATTTTTTGTCTTGTTTCTAGTCCAAATATCTAAAAACTCTTAAATCAAGCAGAATTTTCTAGACAAGCAAAACATGTCATGTTTTAAGATATAATATGCCAAAATTAAGTGAGTTTTTCCTTAAAACAAGTTAAATAATCTGCCAATGGGGTAGGGGAAAAACTAGATTATTTTGCTTACCCCATAGGCACATTTTTTTGCTTGTTTTAATGAAAAACACATTTAATATTGGCATATTATTTCTGAAAACAAGACAGTATGTTTTACTTGCCAAGAAAATACTTCTTGATATAAGAATTTTTAAATATTTGGACTAGAAACAAGAGAAAAAAATCTATGTAAGAAAAGCATTCATGAACCCTGTCTAAGGATTGACTCTATTTGACAGCTCCGCGATCACGCTTGAAATGTCGAGGTGATAGAGCTTTTTCAATAGCAGCTCCAAGACTCTCCTTTAAATAAATTGAGAAGAGTTACATGTTTCTCCCGAATATGTTTTTTGTTTACAATGAATAGAAGTGCTGCTGTTTAAATAATTCTCCTCATTTTTTCCTACCTGTGATGAAGCCAGGCGTCACACAACTGCAATCAAAGCAAAAATGTAATAAAAAAAACAAGACAGAATGTGGAAACACAAATGTTTATTTCCTTAAAATATCAGTATGAACTAATGTGACAGCAGTACACCCTACACATACATTCTATTTAACGTCTTTATTTACACTTTTTCCTTTATATAAAAGTATACAAACTAACATAGAAAGACCTCTCCGTCTGAGGATATAAGACTGGAAGGAGGTGGGAAAAGAAAAGACCCTGACCCCACAAACAAAACGTGACTGTACCTTCAGATTCAAAAGACCGGAGAATTCACGAACATGCATCCATCTTTCATCAATCAGCCTGTGAGATGTCACTATCTGTGCAGTTTAGAGGAGATAGAGGGGTCGTGAGTCTGATATAATACAGTTTTCATGTTGCAACAGATTATAAACACCAGCTCAATAAAACATGGGGCTCAAACGGTAACGCACATACAGAAAAATGGACACTCAGACATGCATCAACTGCACATAAAACAGCCACATACACACCAACACACACACACATTCAAAGGCTTTGGTTCATCAAACCAGTTTTAAAGCTATGGGCTGGATTAGCTCTGTCGTAATGAATGGCCCAGACCACAACTGTTGAAAGTACACAAAATCAACATCATCCGGCTCCCTAATGAAAGAGACTGCACTGCATATTGTGAGTCCGGATTCACCTCGGTTGTTCATACAGATACGTACAAAACAAAAGTCAAGGCACATTCAAAACACAGAAATACCACACGCATGCTGCCTCTTTTTCGCTGCCCTGTGGGATCTACTGATGCATCAGAATGGCAGATATCAAACACAGTGTTTCAGTGTGATCGGGGGTGAAATGAAACGAATGCTTCCACAGTAGTTCAATGAGTTCGACTAAAACAGAGAAAGAGGCCTGCTCTCCAGGATAGATGAAACTACAGGTAGTGCTCAATGAACATTGCCACACACACACACATATAACAACTCTGTTAATAGTGGTTTGTTTACAGTGATGCCAAAAGCATTTGGACATACGAGACAACATCTGAAAATGTACTGATGTCATTGCATTAATACTAATAGTATAGTTCACCACCAGAAGCAACAACAAATGCACTTACATTCGGATGAGTTTCTTCTGTTTGAAATAAAAGAAGATATTTTAAAGAATGTTGGAAACCACTGACATCTATAGGAAAAACTTGTTTGGAAAAACTGGTTTGGAACATTTTTTTGACTGAACTATGCCTGTAAAAGAAGAAAGAAAGTCGTTTTATTAACTATTTTATTAATATCTGGTCACTTTCTGGTTGTTTCACATGTTTGTAGGTAATACTTTGAACTACTACAACTCTCCTGGTGTGCGTTTCTGAAAACCATCGTTAGCCAACTAAGGTCGCAAGTTCCGTCATTATAAACATAGTTTGTTGAGTTTCCGTTTACCAATTGAATTGTTACAACAAATATTCGCAAACTGCATCTCAAACTTGTTTGCTTGCAACTACACCTCTGGAGCTGTAGTTAGAAACATAGTTCCTGGCTGTGTTCAATTCCCAGTTATCCCCCATATGCCTTATTTATTTAGAACATTCTAACATTTAAACTTGGAATGATTTTTTAAAAAAGCATTAAAGTCACCACTTTTAGGTGTAATTTGCATTTAAAGTATTTTTACAGTTCAGTTTTAGCGATCTTTGTCTTGATAATTGCGTTCCCTTCATAGTGTACTGAAAACATTACTAAAACTCTCAAAAGAAGTTGTTACCACCCCGTTTAAAGCATCATTATGGGCGTTGTACGTTATAACTAACGTGGTTCAAACGATGGGTCTGCGACAGAGAAGCTACGGGTTTTGGCAAACACTCGTCACTACATTATTCTTTTTGTGACATGCACCCCGCTTGTATTAAAGACTTCAGATGATTTTTAAAATTAAAATACTCTAATTTACTAATGTTAAGACTGTTGTTTGATTAACATGCAATTGTCATTATGCAATTATTATTCAGTGAGTTTTATTCTATCACTGAAATGTTTAGGATCAGTAAGATTTTTTCTTACTAATGGTTATTTATTATTAATGTTGTTATTAAAATGGCATCTTTTTATTTAGCACGAACACATTTAATGTTAGATTTAATGGTTTAATGTATTAATCCTTGTTCAAACTACATCTTTTAGAAAAAGCTTTTAAATTGGAATGAAACTGATCTTATTGTGGCTCTCTATGTTTCTGCTGTATGCATTTGATGTTTTGGTTATGTTGGTTGCACTGTATGCTGTTTTATATGTTGTTGTTTATTTTTGCTCATTTATAACCCAAGGTATGTACAGCACAATGGTCAACAACTGTCGTTTAATGCGCTTTATAAATAAGATAAAAAGTAAATGTTTTAAGACTAAAAGAAATGAAATTTATATTGTTTATATAAGACTCTATTCAGAACAAATGCTGTTCATCTGTTAATAAATAGTCAAAAATGTACCATGTTTTCCATCACATTAAGCAGCATAACACATTAGCAGCAAATTAGCATATTCGACTGAAGGATCATGTGAAACAAAAGACTGAAAAACAGGAATATATAACATTTTAAAATGTATTCAAATGGAAAACAGATTTTTGTACATGATTTTTTACAATATTACTGTTTTACTGGACTTTTTGATGAAGTAAATGCAGCATTATTGGGCATAAGAGATTCTTTCATCAAAACCTTTAAGTAAAGACTCATTTGAGCGACCTCAAATGTTGGTGTTGTATAAATATTTGATATGAAAGTGCTGACACTTTGATGCTAAAACTAGTTAAACTTTGTGTTTGCAAAGGCTAACAAATCATCAGTTATAAATTAATATCGACATTAATATAATTAAACATGTAATGGATCATTTCAAACATATTCAAGGTAATCTGCAAGTATATTCCAACAGACACTACATTTACATCTATCTCTAATGCAATGACGTTCAGTTATTTTGAAACTATGCCATACGTGCCCAAACACTTTTTGCAACCACTTTAAGTTCTAGTTAGGGATCACAGTGCATTCTGGGTGCGGAGGGATGATGTCATGACCATTACACACCTCAACAACTGCATGAACTCAACACACACATACTTGTTTTAGTGGTATATAAGAACTTTCCCTTAAAGTATTGCAATTAATACTCTATAATCTGCTTATTATATCACTTAACCCTGTCCCTAAACCCAACCCTCACAGGAAATCTGTGGCAAATTTTGAACATAAAAAGACCCCGTGCACGTATAATTTTGAACAGTTATTAATTACAGGACATGTCCTAATAAACAAACTCATAATTGTAATACCTTGGTCATACCCATGTCATTATACAAATAAATGTCCTCGTTAAACCACCAAAACCAGCACACACACACACACACACACACACACACACACATACACACATACAGTGGTCATGAAATGCTGCTCACTAAGCTCAATCCCAGCAACAGTTAAACAACACACGCTTTTCTGAATACCTCAATATCCTAAAGCATCACACACACACACACACACACACACACACAAACACTGGGGAGTACAAAGGAGCCATAATGTATTGATAATAAGTATGAAAAGGCACAAGGTATTGCTAATTATATAAAACCATGCGTGAGTTACCACTGCCACTGATCTTGACTTGCAGAGAGAAAGCCGATAAAACAACAACAGAGATTTATGAGGTTCTTCTCTGCGCTCCACTACAGCTTTACAGCCACAATGATCTGTTAAAAATAGACTCTTTCCCAACAAGTGTTTGATTTGTTGCCTTTAGCAACAACTGTGTAAAAACGATGCATAAAATTAACAGTTTAAAGAAACAAGACGGAGTAAAAGCTCAAGTTATTTCACACATACACACACACACACACACAAACACACACACACACACACACACACATCCTCACGTAAGTGCTTTCTTGAGAAATGAAATCAGGATTTTGGATTCGTGTTTCAGTACCTTTCACACTGCCATTCAAAATAGTGCATTTGAAAATCAGTATTCAACTGCATTTGTGATTTGTTTTTTTTTTTGTGGAAGAAAAGGTATAAGGTGGGGGATTTCAGGGGGCAGCGACTCTTGAAAGAGTTCAAAAGTGAAAGATTCAAATAATCGTGACAGTCTGATATAGCAGCAGGAATGGTTTCCCCCTTTCCCAACAGGACGGGATTGAGGTTTGTGTCGCAGAGGACATGCAAAGTTGGCAATGTTACCAGCCAATAAGATTGGCTTTGGCCTTCTCTGTGAGCTTGCGGACTCTCCCTTTGCTGGACGTCCCAAAAGTAATGGAGGCGTCCTCAAATAAAAGCTGTCTTTGCTCTTCCTCAGAGTCTTCTTCATTATAGAAAGCAGTCCTTCGGCCCTGGTTGCGTGTTTTCATCTGGCCTTTCGAGCTCCCGTCTTCTCCAATATAAACCTCAGGCTCCTCACTCTGGGCGGAGCCTGATGTATGGGGCGTGATCTCTTCGTTGCCACGTCGACTGCTCCGCCGGAGAGTTTTGGGGCTTGGAGGAGCTGGAGTGTCTATCGTCTTTGTGATTCGTGGTCTGCCTCGTGCTTTCGGATACTCTCCCGAATCTGAAAGATTACTGTCTTGGGCTGTTGAAGAAGCCCCGCCATCATCCCCGGTGGGCAACATAAGCTCCTCCTCGTGGGAGAAATTTCGTCGTGGGGACTCCGTGTCTTTTTTGCTTTTTCGTTCTTTTTTTTTAGAAGAGGTCTTAGGCAGTGGAGGTGGCGGCGTGTCCACCGGCGTCTCTATTTGTGTGTCTAATCTGGGTCTGCCCCGGCCTCTTCGTACCATTCCTACAGTCACTTGACTGTGACCATTCAAATGCAAACTGTTCTGAGGAGGAGAGCTGTGATCAACTGGACCTAAGAGAGAATGAGCATGTAAGTACAGATGAAACATTTACATAAAGTTGAAGGCAGAATTACGAGCTCTCCTGTGAAATTTAAATTCTTATTCAATTATTTCCAAAGTGATAATATTTTTTTCCCTGACAGGATATTCAATAACAAAATAACAACTTTTTTTTAAAAATGTACACTCACCTGCCACTTTATTAGGTACACCTGTCCAACTGCTCGTTAACGCAAATTTCTAATCAGCCAATCACATTTCAGCAACTCAATGCATTTAGTAGACATGGTCTGTTGCAGTTCAAACCGAGCCTCAGAATAGGGAAGAACGGTGATTTAAGTGACTTTGAACGTGGCATGGTTGTTGGTGCCAGACAGGCTGGTCTGAGTATTTCAGAAACTGCTGATCTACAAGGATTTTCACACACAGCCATCTCTAGGGTTTACAAAGAATGGCCAGAAAAAGAGAAAATATCCAGTGAGCGGCAGTTCTGTGGATGCAAATGGCTTGTTGATCCCAGAGGTCAGAGGAGAATGGCCTGACTGGTTCGAGCTGATAGAAAGGCAACAGTAACTCAAATAAGCACTCGTTACAACCGAGGTATGCAGAAGAGCATCTCTGAATGCACAACACGTCCAACCTTGAGACAGAAGGGCTACAGCAGCAGAAGACCACACCGGGTGTCAATCTTGTCAGCTAAGAATAGGAAACTGAGGCTACAATTCGCACAGGCCCACCAAAATTGGACAATTAGAAAACTGTAAAAAAAAATTCTAAACAGAAGAGAGAAGCCTGGTCTGATGAATCTTGATTTCTCAATTTTCTCGATCACGTCAATGCTATCATGTCAGTATGGACCAAAATCAGAGGAATATGTCCAGTACCTTGCTGAATCTCTGCCACGAAGGATTAAGGCAGTTTTGACGGCAAAAGGGGGTCCAACCTAGCACTACTAAGGTGTACCTAATAAAGTGGCTGGTGAGTGTGTTCTTAAGAAATCAGACCCTTGGCACTTGTTCATATCCATGGAATTTAGATTCGGACTTCAAAAGATAAAATCCTTTAAGGACAACAGTTTTTAAGAGGGTTTTTACATGACATATTTAATCATTTTTAATGCTTTTTTCCTGTTTAAATGACAGTACCTGACAATGTGATTTAGAACTGGCAATGCTAACTTTTAAAAACAAGTCTGTTGAAAAAGTAAGTTCTGCAGTTCAGCTACCAAAATGAAGATAACTAAGAATTTCAGAAAGAACTATTTAAAAAAGGAGCACATAAAAACACCAGATTTTGAGAACAGACAGAAGCATTGACCGACCTGGTGTGAGTTTGACAGGTGTCCTCAGTTTCCTGCGGGACTCTCTGGCTCCTCCTCCATTGCTGGGAGGAACAGCGGAGCTCTCATTTTCTCTAGAGACCGCAGTGGAGTGGGGGTTCTGTGTGCGCAGGACTCTGGAGGAGGAGGACTCTACTAGAGGTGGAGGAGCCGATTGTGCAGGAGCCACGTCTGTGATGGGGCTTCCAAAACGGGCCGAGCTGCGAGTCCGACCAGGTACAACGGGAGTCTCAGCCTTGCCGTTGATCTGTGGATGTGTTTGGCGTAAAGAAGGAGCTCGGGACGGTCCAGCAGGTGTGGGTGGAGCTGCACTGTCCAATCGAGGAGGAGCACGAGAGGAGACTCGCCTCTTCCTTTCTGGACTGTAAAAAAGGCATCTTAGTTTTATTAATGCCAATGATAAATCAATGATATTTGTGATAGGATTGTAGTTAGACAGAAAGTTGGAAATTTAAATCCTCTTTCATGTAAAAACACCAGAAGTTTAAAAACTGAAACCAGCACATCATATTCTGAAATGACCAATCAGATGCTGTCTGTACCTAGAGGCGGAGCTTGAATGTGAAGAGCTCCTCCTCCTCCTCTTTTTCACAGACTGTCTGGTCAGGCGATCGGTGTGCAGTCGCTGTCGGGTGAGGCGTTCACTGTGCAAACTTTGGGCAGCTTTGAAATCAGTCAGGATTGAACTGATGTGCTCTTCAAACAGAGCAGACAATCGCAGGCTCATGCTGTAGATCTGCATACACAAAACAACCCGCATGTATTTCATGAACTTAACTGCTGTGATGATGGCCAAAGTGTTATTAATACTGTAGGGAATTAACTGGACGTGATCTCATACCCTGGACTTTTTGCTGGGCGTGTAGGCTTTGGAGTTGCTGAAGATGAGACGGACATCTTTACAGAGATCCATGGGAGTGTCATACTCTCCTGCTAACAGGCGGTTCAAGACTGTCCCAAAGTCCATGGGAGTGTCCACAATATCCAAGTAGTCCTGAAAGAGGTATTAGTATGAGCAGGGCATATAAGCAGGCAGTGCACTGCAAGTCTTATTCCTAATCAGTATTTTTATCTTTTTTTCCAGCACTAACACATAAGCATTGTTTAATTAATTTATTTTGCATTGCCATTCAGAGGTTTAGGGTTTCTTCTGCTTGGTTGCAACAATAATATTGTGAAATATGATCAGGACTTGACATAATTAAAAAAAAAATATATAGGTTTTTCATCCACAGCAAGAATGTCGCGTGAATGGAGTTTGCATGTTCTTCCCGTGTTTGCGTGGGTTTTCTCCATGTGCTTCAGTTTCCCCCACAAGTCCAAAGACGTGGTATAGGTGAATTGGGTAAGCTAAATTGTCCACAGTGTATGTGAGTGAATGAGTGTTTATGGATGTTTCTTAGTGTTGTGTTGCAGGTAGAAGGGCATCCTGCTGTGTAAAACATATGCTGGATAAGTTGGTTGTTCATCCCGCTGTATCGACCCCAGAATAATAAAGGGACTAAGCCGAAAAGAAACTGAATGATGAATGAACATTTATTTATTTCACATAACATCTAATTATTTTCCGATATTACTATCTAACATATTAATTTAACATAATACCTACCTAACTAATATATATAAATCACAGAGAACATCCTGAAACCAACTGTGTTGTTGTTTTAGTGAGCCTATAATAAGTGTTCATACTGGGGTCTAATTTATATCTGTCAGTGTCTCATCCATAAATTGAAACTCCGGCTACAATATTTTTCTGCAAGAAGCTGTTTTATCTACTAAACTCTAGAAAACCCAAAAGTTCCATACTGAATATCTAACAGTCATCAGGCGATCTGAAACAGTGACTAAAACTGTAATAAAACATAAATAATAATAATTACTGACTATAGTTTCCCTCTTAATTCCCCGTCTGATGCTAAAGCTATAATTTACAATAGTGTGTGCGCATCTGAGTGTTACCGGATACTCATCCAGATCCACAGGTTGTCTGAAGGGCTCTGAATCTTCACACTGAAAGATGAGCTCCAGCAGTTCTCTACAGCGCTCCTTCCAGGCCTGAGGGTCTGACGAGGGTTTACTGCGCAGACTTCTCAACATGGGCTGCTGCTGCTGCCTCTGAAACACCAATACAACATTAGTTGAGTAAGCCATTATGTGTATGCATAATGCATAGAAGCAACTATAAGGAAACTTAATATTTTACCTTCTTATTGCGGTTAGATGTACAAGGAGCCTCATGCTCTTCGTCTTCATCTTCATCTTCATCCTAAGTTGGGGGAGAGAAAAAAACAAACAAAAATGAAAACTTGCAGCTTAGTCATGATTTTAGTTTCTTGCATTTCACCAAACCTTTGTGTATCATCAGGAGTCAGGAGGTATTTTCGTGAACGGTTTTCTGTATGTTTTTTATTTGTATTTTTTGACCCTTAAAGTGCAAGTAGCCATTAACTTGCAACATATGAATCACCAAGAACCACAACTTCTCTTAAAACATCTTCACTAATGTCCAACTGAAAAAGTCACCTGTGATGGCTTAATGATGGTGACTACCTTTTACATGTAAATACATATTTATGTTTATGAATGCCCAGTACTTGCATGGCTGTAAAAGAACTCGTTAGAAGTGCTAAATAATATATAAAATCTCATTCACATACAAGTGGTTTATGTGAGTTTCAATGGCACTTACATCACTTGAGTCTGAGAAAGCGGTTTTCTTCATACTGTTATATAGTGGAATAATATCTGTACAACTTTGGTCCCTGAAAGAGAAATACAAAGACAGACAGACAAAATGATAAATTATATGATGAATAGATACATTTTTTTAATAAATGGCAGATATTAGAATATATATATATGGTCACACTTCACTTTATTTTGATAAGTTTGTTGACTTTAAGTTACATTGCATCTACATGCCGATTAATTCTCTTTAGATTATGAGTAGACTGTTAGGTTGTGGTTGGGGGTTGAGGTTAGGGTTAGTTTAAGTTGACCTCTACTTGCAAAGTTTCTTATAGTCAGATAAATGTCTGTTTAGCAGCAGTATCAACAGATATTAAACAGACAGTCTACTAATACTCAAATGGACCATCAAAATAAAGTGTTACCATATATACTTTTAAAATAATAAATACTATACTAATAAAAAGTAAATACTACAGAACTTTAGAAAAACAACTAAAATCAAACAACTTAAATGCTTTAAAAAGTAGTGAGTATTATAATATATTTATTTTGAGATTTGCTTACTATTAAATTTAACAGCGTGTTTTTATTGTAACTTGAATTCAGCTATAAAAAATAGCAAACGTAGTATAAACGTATAATACACAAATATTGGCATAGCTTAATTGGATATTGCAATACAGATGACACCAATTAAATAAAATAACAATGGCCCATATTTAATATACAATACCACTCATCCCAATTCAGTACTACTGCTTCACTTTCCTTGTGATTTTCATGTATGATTGACTTACTTGATAAATTGTAGCATGAGGTCCGATACGAATTTGGCAGTTCTGACAATGAACGCGCCAGGTTCATTGAAGGTTTGAGCATTGTGTTCGATGTAGCGAACCTCCCACATCAACGATGACATTCGCCTGAGAAAACATCACCAGGAAAAAAAACAAATGCACATATAAATTCACTACCATCTATATTACAAATACAAGTGAATTTTAGAAATATATCCAGAGTTCATGTAGGCCTTTGATTGTCTTTTTGTTTGCACTGACCTATAGAAACGATTCTCTAGTCTTTGTCGTATAGTGCTCAGATCTGTGACGTAAGCGACCACCGTGCAGTATGTTGGATATGCCTGCAAATCCACGGGCAGCTCAAATGGTTTCGCCACATCTGGAAGACAGAAAGAACCTGTTATAGTGGATTTAGATTCAGAGACGGCTTTTGTGACAGTTCGCCACAACTCAGCTCGGTTTGCATTTCCACTTCAGTTTAGCACCTCTTACAGTGGATGGGATTACCACTATAGTAGTGGCACCTTTCCTTATGTGACATCAGTCCGGGTCATACCATCCAACCAGCTGGATTTACTTCTCACAAGCAACAAGAGGAACATCTAGACCTCTTCTATTGACCTCAATGCTGCCATTTCACAAGGTTTAGTCATGCAAATCAACTAAACAGCAGTGGCTGCCTACTAAATATAACAGGTTTGGTGTTTCATGCCACAAATCCAATGATGCTGTTAGTGACAATTCTCTCAGAACAATCAGTGATCAGCAGTGTATATGCATTAAGTTTTGGTAATGGTTTGGCTAGCTTAAAACTTCACCTGAGGTACTATAAAGTCCAGATTCTAGGATGCCCCCAAATGAGCCTTAGCAAAACCAACCGTGCTGTACCATGCAGTGGAAAAGTGCCTTCAGTTTTTATGTAAAGAACTACAGTATAACTAACAACAACTGCATCAGTGTCGACAACAAAGCACAAAAACCGGCTGTATGTTATAACAGCACCTTTAATTCTTAAGCTGTTTAAAGCAGAATTAAGTTACATTGGCTCTCTATGTCTGCATTGTTCAACCAGTGGAAAATCATTTTAACAGTCATTCCAAGTACATAGATTGGTTGTGCTGCTATTGTTATTTAGAAGGATTTGTGCTATGTTCACACTGTCAGTGTTCAGCACTGGCAACCACTTTCATTCAAAGGTCTGAGTACAGAAATTGTGTAAATTGTGAGTATTAAAAAAAAAAAGACAGGACTTCCGGTATAGCAATGAAGGAGTAAGGTGCGTGGAAGAAGGGCTCCCAATCTACTTTATTAAATTAAACCTGCTAAACGCTAAATATTTCCAGTTACTGTTAATTGATTTGTTTAGAACATTATCGGCCAAAATATGAGTAATTCTAAGCCGAAGCAAGCTCATCCTTCAGCTCCACCGACAACGAGATCTACCACGAGCATCGCTAGCAAGTTAGCAACCATGGCCGCCGCCGCCTCCAGTGCTGAAAAACAGGTCACGTCAGAAACTTTTGAATCCGTATCCATAGACCTGTTGATTTCTGAATTAACTAAACAGCGTGTTAGTATCAGGGAAGATTTCTCTGCCTTGATTCGGGAATCTATCGGGCCTTTACAAAGCTCCGTGAATGCGTTAAGAGAATCGGTTGAAGGATTTCAGAGCCGCCTGACTGCGACGGAGTGCCTAGCTGGGGAGAATTTTGAGAGGCTGACAGCAGCTGAAAATGCTATTAAAACTTTACAAACTCAGAACACATCTCTGCTTGATCGCATTGAGGATTTGGAAAACAGATCTCGAAGAGCTAACTTGAGGATCGTGAACATTCCGGAAGGTAGCGAAAACGGCAAAGACCCCGTTACTTTCGTTTCTGAGATGTTACTTGAGATGACGGGCACGGAGGTCTTCGACAACCCACCAACACTTGACAGAGCGCACCGTTCACCCGGCCAAAAACCAGCGGACGGCCGTAAACCACGTCCATTTTTGGTGTGTTTTCATCGATTTCAGGAAAAAGAGCGGTTGCTGCGCTGGGCAAAACGACACGAAATGAAATACAAGGGGAACATCATCAGAATCTACCAAGATCTCAGCGCTACCCTGTCAAAGAAACGCTCCTCTTACAACGGCATCAAGCAATCACTCTACCAGAAGGGCATACGTTTTCAATTGCTTTACCCGGCTCGACTGAGGGTGACTTTTAATGAAGAAACCTTAATATTCAATACACCGGATGAGGCGAAACAGTTCTACGACCAACGTATAAATGTTTAGAACACTTTTTTTTTCCTTGTTTTCTTTTTCACTCAATCACAGCTTTCTGAGTTGACTCTTTTGAATTTTTTTTTTTGCTTTTGCTTTTGCTCTAAACTAAACAGAAACTGATGCACTGATAACAGTGACTGCGTTGAGGAAAAAAAAAAACATTATCCTTTATATTGGCGTTTTGACATTTTAGAATGTTTAATTATGTTGGGTTGCCCTCTAGAGGTTGAAACGGATATAAGTTAGATGGGAGATTACTGGGGGTTGGTTAGTGGGGGCCTGCAATTTGTCTCCGTTCTTGAGGCAAATATAGGTAAAGTTCAGTGGGGTTGGGAGAATCACTGCCAAATATGTTTGTTTTTTCTCTTTTCTCCTTTTCTTTTTCCTTTTTTTTTCTTTTTTTTTTTTCTCCTTTTACCTGCTTGTCATGTACTGGAGAGAGGGTCTTACTCTTTACAAAACAAAGGTTGATCAATGAGTGATACAAATAGGACTGGAGGGTCTTCTATCCGGTTTATTAGCTGGAACGTTAAAGGTTTGAACGGACCAAACAAAAGAGCTCGTATATTTGCTCATCTTAAAAAACTGAATACTGAAATAGCATTTCTGCAAGAAACGCATTTACAGCTAGCAGACCATACGAGACTTAGAAAACCCTGGATTGGTCAGATCTTTCATTCCCAGTTCAACAGTAAAGCAAGAGGAACAGCGATTCTAATTCATAAGAAGGTGCAATTTCATGCTTCTAAATTTGTTTCAGACCCCCAAGGACGTTTTGTTATTGTGACGGGTCTTCTGTTTCATACCCCTGTTGCCCTAGTATGTGTTTATGCCCCTAATTGGGATGATGTTAACTTCGTTCACAAAATAATTTCTTCTTTACCCGATTTAAACTCGTATCGTTTGATTTTTGGTGGAGATTTGAACTGTGTTATTAATCCAACACTAGATCGTTCAAATCCAAAAACAACATCCCAGACAAAAATGTCTTGCGCTCTATCATCCTTTATGACTCAAACAGGTTGTGTGGACCCATGGAGATTTTTATTTCCTCAAAAGAAAGAATTTTCTTATTTTTCCCCTGTTCACTCTTCATACTCAAGAATCGACTATTTTTTCTTAGATAAGACATTACTTCCCCATGTGGAAAAGACTCAGTATTCTTCGATTGTAATATCAGATCATGCACCACTGCTTCTTGATTTACGATTTACTCATCACTGTACCCAACGTCCTAATTGGAGATTAAATTCTAACCTATTAGCAGATAAAAATTTTCACAAACATATATCAATGGCCATAGATAACTTTTTACTTACAAATGATTCAGAAGAGACATCACCAATAGTCCTGTGGGAGACACTTAAAGTAGTCATCAGAGGTGAAATTATATCTTACTCTATATCTGTTAATAAATTAAAACATGCTAAACTACAACAACTAATAGAATCAATAGAAAAATTAGATCAACAACTTTCTATATCACCCACTGAAGAACTACTTAAAAAGAGAGTGGAAATCAAAGCAGAATTTGATCAGTTGTCAATCGAAAAAACCCAACAAAACTTGCTTTGGACTAAAGGGAATTTTTATGAACACGGGGAAAAAGCAAGCCGTTTATTATCTCACCAGATAAAAATTCAGTCAGCTTCCAGGTTAATCCCACAAATTCGTAATGCCTCACAACATCTGACAGTTGATCCTAAAGAAATTAATGATACCTTTAAAAAATATTATACCGACTTATACACTTCAGATTTTTTTGGAGATACATCAGGTATGTCATCTTTTTTTAATAACCTGAATATCCAGACAATTAACCCAAATCAAAAAGAAATGCTAGAACAACCAATTGATCTACAAGAAATCTTAGATTCTATTAATGGTATGCAAAACGGCAAAAGCCCTGGCCCTGACGGCTATACAGTGGAATTTTATAAGGCTTTTGCCCCCAAATTAGCTCCACTTCTTCTAAAAATGTTTGAAAATTCTTTAATTAATTCAGAGTTACCAAGGTCTCTTACAGAAGCATTCATTACACTTATTCTGAAGCCAGGAAAAGACCCACTTGACTGCAGCTCCTACAGGCCAATATCACTGCTAAATGTCGATGTTAAAATTCTTGCGAAATTATTGGCCTCCAGAATTGACACCATCATACCAGAAATTGTATCACCAGATCAAACAGGCTTCATAAGGGGTCGTCACTCATTTACTAATTTAAGAAGACTTCTTGGTATTCTGTATTCTCCTGCGTCCAGGGAGGCCCCAGAGGTGGTGGTGTCCCTGGACGCAGAGAAGGCGTTTGATAGAGTGGAGTGGCACTATTTATTTACAGTTTTAAAAAAATTCGGTTTTGGATCAAAATTTATAGCCTGGGTCCAATTGCTATATTCTAATCCCAAAGTATCTGTTATTACAAATAAAATACGTTCCCAATTTTTTCCAATATTTAGAGGAACAAGGCAGGGCTGTCCTTTAAGCCCTCTTCTTTTTGCATTAGCAATCGAACCACTTTCCATTATGCTTAGATCCTCGCAGTCTATCCAGGGAATTGATCGAATGGGGTTGGAACACAGGGTCTCTTTATATGCAGACGACCTGTTGTTATACATTTCACATCCAGTTGAAAACGTCCCAAAGATAGTAAAAAATTTATCTGATTTTGGTAGTTTTTCAGGATATAAACTAAATCTTTCTAAAAGTGAATGCTTTCCAATCAATTCCCTTGCTTTACAAATTAATGTAACATCCCTTCCATTTAGGGTTTCACAATCTGGATTTAAATATTTGGGAGTCCATATTACCCGCAGTTTTTCAGGTTTATATGCAAAAAATTTCTTACCACTATTAAGTAAAATTAAATTGGATCTTCAGAGATGGGACGCACTACAATTATCCTTAGCAGGCAGAGTGAACTGTATAAAAATGAATATCCTACCTCGATTCTTATACTTATTTCAATCCCTTCCAATTTTTCTCCCAAAAGCTTTTTTCCATAAAATAAATACACCTATCCTATCATTCTTATGGAATGGGAAGAATCCCAGAACCAGTAAGGAGCTTCTTGAAAGACATAGATCCCAGGGAGGTTTAGCACTTCCTAATTTTATTAGTTACTACTGGGCCGCTAACCTCCAAAAAATTGTTAGTTGGTATAATACCCCAGAGGTTGATTGGTGTAAAGCTGAAGCAAATACTTGTATTTCTACATCACTTTCTTCATTAATAACAATGAAGTTACCATTTTCTCCGTCTAATTATTCCTCAAGCCCCGTTGTATGCTCTACACTCAAGATATGGTCCCAGTTTAGACAGAAGCATAAACTGACTGATTTTTCTATGCTAAACCCTTTATGTAATAACCACTTGTTTCCTCCCGGTAAGCTAGATTTCACATATGTTCAATGGCAGAAGGCAGGCCTGGCTAGATGTTGTGACTTCTATATAGACAACACCTTCGCTAATTTTAGTGACCTCTCCAAAAAATTTCAATTGGCACATTCCAATCTATTTCGTTATTTCCAGGTCCGACACTTTGTCCAAGCTCAGAGCTCAACTTTTCCTGATTTACCACCAGCCTCAATGCTGGATAAAATTCTACAATCTCCTACTGCTCTTAAAGGTCAAATTGCAGCATTATACATGATTATCATGTCTCCAAATGATGCTTTAATTGACCGAATTAGAGGAAAGTGGGCAAACGACATTGGAACTGAAATACCTGATAATATATGGGAAGAGGCTCTGAGTAGAGTAAATGGATCCACTTCCTGCGCACGCCTCAATCTCATACAATTTAAAATTATTCATCGAGCCTACTACACAAAATGTAGACTCTCAAAAATATATCCTTCTATTGATGAGGTGTGTGATCGTTGTAGAAGTGAAAAGGCAGACTTTTTCCATATGTTCTGGGCTTGTCAAAGGTTGAGTGACTATTGGACACAAATATTTAAAACATTAAATGACGCCTTTAATTTAGAGATAAAACCTAGTGTTGAGCTAGCTATCTTTGGGGTACCAGAACACAATATATTGTTGACAAACAAGGAAAAAAATGTATTCGCCTTCGCTACTTTGTTAGCAAGGAGAAGAATACTACTTGAGTGGAAATCAGCAGCTTCACCTAAAGCTTCAATGTGGATGTGTGATCTGATTTTATATTTGAAATTAGAGAAAATTAAGTATTTAATGAAGGGATCAGTCCAAAAATTTTATGAGACATGGCAACCTATGATTACATGTTTTGGGAAAAGGAAGACTCTCTCCTTTAACTGATTTATATAAATAAATCTGTGCAAACAGGTTTAACTGTGATCACCAATATGGTTTAGTTTGATATGTATGTAAAGGACCACTATAAATGTAACAGAATATTGATTTGTATTAACATGTACTGTAGGTAATTATTTATTTGATTTATTTATTTTTTTTTTAAGTTTATTTATTTATTTTTATTAATTTACTATTATTATTATTATTATATATATATAATTTTTTATTTTTATTTTATTTTTTATTTATTTAATTATTTACTATTATTAACAATATTTTCAATTTTGCTATACTTTTATTTATTCCTGTTGTAATTGTATTTTAATTTTATTTGTTTGCTAATTTATTTCGGCGGCAGTGTTCGAAAATGGGGGGAAAGTTACAACTTTAAATGTACAAAATGTTTTGTTAAAGCTTGAGAAAATCATCACAAATAAATGTTTAAAAAAAAAAAAAAAAAAAAAAAAAAAAAAAAAAAAAAAGACAGAAATATTGGAATACTGTCTGCATTAAAGTAAAAATAAATAAAGAGTAAAATATATATGTTTATGTGTTGTATTTTATATTTGTAAGATATTATTTCTAAGTGTTATTGCACTGTATAGATGTTATTTTCATATTTTGACATTTTAAAGATGCTTATTTTATTTTTCAAAAACACGTTTATTCAACAAACTGTTTGCAAGCAAAGAGACTCGCGTGCTTGTATTACATTAATGCAATCTCAACTTGTAGTACTGAGCTCACGACTTTTATCATTTAAATAATGTTAAAGATAGTAAGAAGATCTGTGTAAAAGACCTGCCATCACAGCTGGAAAAAAATCCTAAAGCAAACACTGCTCTTTAATTACTGCAACTAAAATAAATCCCAAAAAATATTCAGATAATACTATGCAGGGTTCATACACATTTTTACTATAAACATTTCAGGACTTGTCCATGACTTTTGCAAAACTGAGGTAAATATTCTCTATGTTTTATGTAATGTCTATGTACACATGCTAAACAAAATGTATGTTCAAAATTATTAGAGCATATCAACAAATATGTGACAATCTGTGTAGTTTATATTTAGTTTTACATCTGCAAAATAGTATTCAAAAAGTATCTTGCTGTCCGTGTGAAAATATTTTATAAATGTTTGCTTGTGTTTTAAATGATATTATATTGTCTCATAAATTAGCCTTTAGCAGCCACAGTATCTTACCTCTGTAGTTATTAGAGATTGTTTCTGGACACGACACTTAAAATGTTTCTTGAATTACGATGAAAGCGAGTGAAAGAGAGGTGAAGCTAAAACTGCGAGTTGTGAAAAGACAGCCAGCGAAATTATTTTCAAAATTTACCCAATATTATCATCTCAAATATATTCAAGTACACAGATACTTGTTAAACAAATTTTCACGACTTTTCCAAAACATGTTGGGTTTATTTGTTTTTTCCAAAACTTTTCAAGGCCTGGAAAATGCCTTGTTAATTTTCCATGACCTTTCCAGGTTTTCCAGGACCAAATAAACCCTGACTATCTTAGTTTCACAGAGCTCCATCCAAAACATCAAACAGGTTGATCACCAAATGGCAAGGCTTTCCTTAAAATATAGCTGTGTGAGTCCTTTCAATGTAATAAGTGAACATTTGAAATGTGTGTGAATGCAACTATATTAAGGACTCATATACAGTTCTGACCACAGCATTGTGAGTGTTATTATCACAGATATCATCTTAATGCTAAATAATAAGACCATACCCAGAGTGCAAAGCTGGTTGATGCCCCTGATGATGCGTTCACACTCCTGGTTGCGTGTTCGTGAGCCCCACTCTCCGTCCAGCGGCTTGTACAGTAAGGCCTTCTGCTCGTCCTGAGTGAGAGCCATACTGAGGCCTAGCTCCTCAGGAAATACTACTGCAGACAGACAGAGACAATGAGACAGAGGAAAACCAGACACTATCACAGCTCTGACTGTATTGCTTATTAAAATAAAGCCAGCTGGACATCAGAACAGCTGATACTCTCAATCTGATGGTTGCCATGAGCACTAACTCGCCTGCGTTGTTGATGTCACAAGGACCAAATGTCACCACAAGCACAATAAAAGCCTAAAATTATCCACATCCAATGGGAAAGAGCATGCTTGGTAAACATACTCGATTACTTTTAAATAATATGTAAAATAATATATAAAAATAATAATAAATAATATATTAAATATAATATAATTTATAATTAAAAAAATTAAATCAATCAGTTACTTATGTAAGTGCACTCAAGATCTTTTATCAAGGCTGAACATATCTAATAACCAGGAGTCTGGTACAGTGTATGTAATCAGAGGTGTTTATATTGCTCGACGTGTGCTTATGTGCTTATATTAGAGCTGTGAAAATTAATGTGCTATGAGATTAATTAAATATGGTTGACATTATTATATTTAGCACAGTTTATGCACTCTCTCAATGTAATCTTACATCCGTTTCTGTTTTGTGAGATTTGTGCATTAGCATAGGTGGTTCAGTGAACGGCTAAAATATTATTTTTGTAAATGATAAAAAAGCCTTTTTAATGACAAATCCTTCAACTGAATTATACATTATAAAAGTCTGAGACATTGTGTAATGTTTTTGAAATTTTAGTGGTACATTATGTGGTCAGGGTTCCTGCAGGTTTCACTAAGTCAAATGTTAGACTTTAAGACCTTTTTAAAAACCATGTAATTTCAGACTTATTTAAGGCTAAGCACTAAAACTTTTTGAATGGCCGAGCAAAAAAAATGTGCTTCCCCCATCAAAAACGTCAAAAAAAAAGTAATTCCTTAGTTACATATATTAAATAGTGTATCAAAACAAGCAGACCCTAGTTGTATACATATTTTTTTAAGATTACTTAAAAATAAATATTTAAATGTAAATGTATGCATGACAGTGGGTTATAATATTAGTTATGAATAGAGTTTTGGTGAGATGTATTGTTGGTGATTGGATGTGTGTCGGATAGATAATATAGCTTTACATAAACAAAGGAAAATTAAGACAATTTAAAAAATAATTTAAGACCAACAAGACAATATTTCAGTGAATTTAAAACTTCTTAATGCCTAAAATTCAGTTTTTGAAATTTAAGACATTTTAAGACCCAGCGGATACCCTGTATGTTACAAAGCTGAATTTTCAATGTGATTTTTCCAGTCTTCAGTTTCACATGACTCCTCACAAATAATTATAATGATAATTTGGATAAAATATTTTTTTGACAATCATCAGTATTTAAATTTGCATAATATTTTGTAAAAATCATAACAAATTTTTGTTTTCAGGATCCTGTGAAGACTTTAAGGTTTAAACTGTTTATTTGACTAAAGTTTTACTGTAAATTTGACAATTAACACATCCATGCTAAATTAAAATATAGATTTTAATGTTGAATTTAAGCTTGTTGATGGATCTATCTGTCTAGACAAAGATCTATTTAGCCAGTTGAACTTAAGGAACATGTTAAACCTTCATCAGGAACCTCCTCCATGTCCCACGGGCTCATCTTCTCAGTATCTCCATTATCCCAGCTGCATCACACATTAACACAAAGCTGTCAAGTTCATTTACTGTTATATCTGTAACATTATACTAAACACACACAAGATTATTATCTAAGCTTCTATACACACCCTGTTTGGCTTTAAACTTAAAAATCAAAGAGGCAGAGAAGTGAAATGATGAGAAGTGATTTATGTATAAAAATGTGTAAAATGGACACAGAACTGACCAGACGTTGTAGCACTGGAACAGAGAGTCTGGATATTCGGCCTGGTACGGCTCTTGACTCTCAATCGTACCAAACCACCAGGCATCATCAATCACTGCCCGGAAACGATCACCTGACAGAGAAATTGCAAGGTAAACATATTTATATTAGGGGTGTATGTATTCTAACTGATTTAATTTTGGGTACAGCTCTTTTGGTTTAGCACATGTTTAAAATTGTGTTGTTTTAACCCAGTACATACTGAAAGGTCTGGTTTTCACTGAATCAACACAGATTCTTAAATCCCTACATTAATAGTATATGCTGCTTCAGCAGGTGCTTAAAAAAAAAACACATATTATTTAAAAAAAAAATGTTTAACAGTTATGCGAGGACCTCTTGTCCACAGTGTATGTGACTTCTCTTGACTTCACACAGTAACAGCAATGAATGCGGCATGACTTTGTTGCAGAAACAGCTTGAAGTCTAAAGCACGAGTATGTTTTCAGTCTAGAGGTATTAAAAAGTTGATGACGACAACATTGCCATAGTAAACTATGAGATATGAAAACTTGGGATTGCCTGTCGGGTGTTTTAAGTTGAGGTGCTATTTGTATTTATAATAGATTTTTTTTTTATATTTATTGTTGCACTAAAGTCCAAAATTGAAGAATTGATTTTATTTATTGCTTGATTGTTCAAGCTACCTCACAGAAGTGCTCTGTTTGTTAACAGAGTTGTTGAATGTTAAAATAAGGTGACAAATAAAATAAAATAAAAAAATAAGGAACATCCTGGATCTGTTTCTTCGATCTTCTTTATTCTTTTTTTATGTATTAGAGGTATCGGATCAACTTTTGGTATCGGTAGATACTCAAAATCCAAAATGACTCAGACTCGAGGGCAAACAAATCTGATCGGGACATCCCTAATTACAGTTTTTCTCAGTCACTTTGGTGCATTTCTCACAACACTATTTACATTTGCAGATGATGCATTTCTCAAAACAATTAGTACAAACTGCAAAACCTAGTTGATAACCTGCAAAAACGGATAGCTCATTCCTAAAAAGCAAGTATTCATGTCAATGAAAGTGTCAGTGTCATCAAGATAAAAAGTCCTGACACCATTGTTTATGAACAAGATAGTCATATGGCTTTGGCATGTTTTCATTATCAAAGTTTGCTTTGTAAATATTTTCCCCGCAAAAAAGAAAAAGATTTTGGTGACACTTCCTGAAAAAGCTCAAGACAGCACTATATAATATTTGCACAGCCATTTGAAAACTACAGTAAAGTTAGACATCACTGCATATAGTGAGGTATCTGAATATGTATGTTTCACATTTCTACTGCATATGTTCTTTGCAATTCTAATTTATTATTTTATTGTGTAAATGCAACATTTAAGTAACAGGGTTCCCTAACAAGCATACAACACAAGTAAGTTTTTCTAATCAAACAAATGGTTAAAAAGATGAAAGAAGCAATTTTGTGTTTAGTTTTTTCCTTTATGTATTAAACTGTGATATTTTAAGTTTAATTATTATATTTTTATGCACAGAAATAAAGCCAATTTGTCATCTAAAAAAAAGTAATCAAAACATAAATTATCACAGAAAGTTCACCGCATGACTCCATTTCATGGACAATTTTTAAGGGTTATTTCAGGTCAAATTGAGTTTAGACACATACCTTTTTCACAATTCCTGTTTAATTCTCAAAAAGTTTTGGTCATTAAAGCAAAACTGCAGCTTTTCTTAGTATAACATGCATAAAACCAAGAAAAACACAAATACAACATTACAAAAAATTATATTTGCAAAGATCTTTTCCATTCTCCCACACAGTCATTTGTATCACTGACCCATTTAAACCCATATAAATAAACAGTTAAGCAGAAACACTCAATTTGGGCACAAACCTATCATCCAGTTCCTCTGTCTTGCGTTATCAAACTGCTGCCGAAGAACCAGGAAGTCGATGACATCAGGCATGTCGTGATATCTGAGTCACCAATAGAGATGCAAGGCAAGGGTTAAAAGCCACTCAGCACAGATCATGTTGAATAAGAGCCTGTGACTCACGCAGACTGAACTCACTTAATGGAGAATGAGCCGCCCGTCAGTTTGCCTGAGTCTGGGTCCAGGAAGGCCAGCTTCAGACAGCACAGAGTAGGCAAACCCACCTCGTACTTAATGCCCACAATCTTCAACAGCTCCTGCTCCTATAGGCACACAATCACAAGTCATTTTCTTTGTGTTTCACCATGCTGCCAGGTCACAGGGTCATAAAACCAAAGTCAAGACAACAGATCTTTTTATGTTCCTTTAACGTATTTTTATATATTTGTTAAGCTATACAAAGTTTAACTTAATATTTTTAATCAGTTTGATCAACCCTTGTGTACTGTTCAAATTGACTACCCTTTCGATATGTTTGTGGCTGTTTTTGCCCCATTGACTTCCATTATATATTATATTATACTTCCATATATTTATGCATGAGCATTCTAGATTGTTGGTGGTTTTCCCTTTTAGGAAGAGGTAAAATGTGTGTTTTGACTGTTGATCATCAGTTGACAGCATTAACCCTTTACATCGGCCTGTGCAAAAAACGTTTTTGGCTTTTAAATGGAGTTCTATGAAGTAAAACAACAGAGTATAGTGTGTGCATGCATAAATAAACTTTCTATGTATACTATGTTCTGAGAGCTGAGGTACTTATTTTGATTTTCTCAGACGTCAAGATAAGTGTGCAAATGTCTCTTGCACACACACACACACACACACACACACACACACACCATTCTCCATATAGTGGTACTGCGCGCTGACATATAGCACCAATGTGCCCACGGCGACCCGAGTTCGATTCCCAGCTCGAGGTCCTTTGCCGATCCTTGCCCTCTCTTTGCTCCCAATGCTTTCCTGTCTGAATTCTCTACTGTCCTATCATAATAAAGGTGAAAAACCCCTAAAAATAATTATATAAAAAAGTACTTGTATAGCCTCTCTTATGTGTATAGCTAAGTATTTTATAGTATATGTTAGTTATGCATTGGTATAACTATATATATGTCCAGTGTTACGGTCAGAATTATTAGCCCCTCCTGAATTATTAGCCCTCCTGTTTATTTTTTCCTCAATTTCTGTTTAACGGAAAGATTTGAGCAACACATTTCTAAACATAATAGTTATGATAACTCATTTATGATAACTGAGTTATTTTATCTTTGCTCTGATGACAGTAAAAAATATTTTACTAGTTATTTTTGAAGATACTAGTATTCAGCTTAAAGTGCAATTTAAAGGCATTGTATAACTTTAAAAGTATGAAAGTGACAATGGAGATGAGGATCCAAGTACAGTGTCTTTATTTAGACAGAGTGGTCAGGCAAGCAATGGTCAAGCACAGTAGCAAACAGTATTATGTGGGCAATCCAAAAGAGAAGTCAAAAAGGGGCAAAAAGGTGAGTTCCGGCGGCTATAATCAAAACCAATTATCAAAGCAAAGACTTAAACAAGGCAAGGCAAGGAGAAATGTTTCATAAAGTGTCCAGAAACAACAAGACTCAGCCATGTCATTGTGTGTAAGTGCTGTATATCCATGTAATGAGTCCTTGAGCAGCTTCAGCTCTGCGTGTTTGCAATTAGTCGGGATCATGAACGGGTGTGTGCGCGGTGCATGCTGGAAGTTGTAGTTCATATATGTGGCAGCTTTGTAGTTCTCCAGTGATATACAGTAGTTAGATCTTTTGTGACTGTAACAATAACGATGGTTTGTTTTCTAGACAATTGAAAAAAAATATTGCTTAAGGGGGCTAATAATATTGACCTTAAAATGTCTTTTTTTTAATTAAAACTTTATCCCTTGCTCTGTTAAACATCATTTGGGAAATATTTGGGGGAAAGAAACAGGAGGGCTAATCATTTTGACTGTAAGTACCAGCAAAACATACCATTTATGGTTGTAAAACACAAGCTGGTGTCTATGGAGATGGAAATAATAAGTATTTTTAAACAATTAAAATGACATTGATCACTTATCCAGAGTCAGCGGGAGTATTTAAAACTAACATTTGAAAGGGCTATACTGCTATTTTTATGCAAACCTTTTCCTCGTTGTACACTCAACCACAGCTTGAAACTTTTCTGAACCCTTTTTCTATCAGAGCTGTGCAGGAACACTGCTAATATTGACAAGGTTTCATGACAAGTTAATATTAGCTTCAGTTGCAGACTTACCCTGAGCTCTAACTTGTGCCAGGGCTGTTTTTTAGGGTTTATACTGAAGATCTTGTTTTTTTTGGCCATCTCCACATAAGCTTCATGACCTTGACGGAAGTAATACACCTGTTCACAAACACAACAGGATGATCAATATTGCGATCATGTTTCACAACACCACACCACACCACTTCATGCTTTAATTATGATTCAGCAGACTGTCTTTTTTTGTTTGTTTGTTTGTTTGTTTTTTACCTCATCGCCCATCTGTGGGGTGAAAGGGCATCTCCGTGGCATAGTGTCAGTGATCCAGTTGGAGGGCAGCCATTCCTCTAACGTCAAACCCTGATTCTGCAATTCAGGTATCCTCTGGACATAAAAATACACACTTCAGTAAAACAAAAAAAAACAGTTTGTGTATTTTCTGTAAAATAAAATGCACAATAATTATATACAAGCAAACATTTTAAAATATATATTTTAGTGATTTGTTGCTTGAAAAACTGTTTATTAATTACATATTTTTATATACATTAAATACTACTCTTATTTTCCGAATAACATTGTATTTGCAGGATGTGTTGTGGATTGAGAGAAACATTAATACCAATATGTTTATCTTTGTAAAGGTAAAATTGTATTTATAATATGTGATTTATATGCTTGGGGCGACATGGTGGCTCAGTGGTTAGCACTGTCGCCTCACAGCAAGAAGGTAACTGGTTCGAGTCTAGGCTTTCCTCTGGGTTCTCCGATTACCCCACAAGTCCAAAGACATGCACTATAGGTGAATTGGATAAGTTAAATTGTTTGTAGTGTTTCAGCTCTTGAATTAAATACTGTAGATTTTTTCTACTTTTATAAAAATTATTTATATAAAGGGATATACAGAACTGATCAATTCTCTTAACAACGAAATTTCTCTTAACAAGGCAGTTCAACTTTCTGGACATGATGCTTTCATGTCCCAGGGTTTTTTTTTTATTTTAGCTTCATTAATTAAAAACTTTCAACATCCAAACATGTTTTTTACTTTAGGGCCAGACAGAATCTGCAGACATTTTTAGCTATTTCTGTGGAGGATTTAGTGAAAAAAAATCTGTGGAATGATTTAGGTAGTATCATAACTAAAAACTTCATATATGTAATAAAAAGTAATACCTTTTTCATTTTTATTCAATTATTTACAATATAAATCCACTTAGATCCACTTATTTGGTAAACAAAGCAAGTCTCATACAGTTAAAATCAGATTAGCGCCCTTTTAAATTTTTTTGTCTTTTTTAAATATTTCCCAAATGAGGTTTAACAAAGCAAGGAAATTTTCACTGTATGTCTGATAATATTTTTTTCTCTAAAGAAAATCTTTTTGTTTTATTTCAGCTAAAATAAATGGAGTTTATTAATTTTTTTAAACCATTTTAATGTCAAAACTATTAGCCCGTTTAAGCTATATATTTTTTGATAGTCTACAGAACAAACCATCATTATATAACCTGCCTAATTACTCTAACCTGCCTAGCTAACCTAATTTACCTAGCTAAGCATTTAACTATCACTTGTCATCATGGCAAAGATAAAACAAATCAGTTATTAGAAATGAGTTATTAAAACTATTATGTTTAGAAATGTGTTGAAAAAAATCTTCTCTCCATTAAAAAGAAATCTATAGATTCTCACTGCAAGAAAAATATCTGAAATTAAAAAATTGATGATACAATCAAAAGACAATAAACTAAATACCTTTCATTTTTAACTGCAGGAAAAAGAGACAATTATAAGAATGAAGATTTTGCATAATTTTCTTCACAAATTTTGTGAATTTTTGTGATTTTTTAAAAGTTACCAACACTTGGTTACCAAGGAGACAACGGTGTCAGTGAAAAGCGGGAGATTAAATGAGATGGCATGTGTGATTAATATAATGAGGAGGTGATAAAAAAAATATTGTGAAATCTATTTACTGTCATATCAATTCAATATTATTGTGAATTCATTTTAAAAGGTGCTCAATCATCAATAAACTGTACTAGCTGTGAAATCAATAACCTGTATTTCTATAGCGCTTTATTGACCTTATTCTTCAATGTGGAAGTGTGCTCTATTTTGCGATTGTTTTAGAACTTCTGATTCAGTTGCCTATGAGAGAAATGACTAGGAATAATAGACGCAAAAAACAATCAAACTACTTGCTCTACAAACAAATGTTTGCATGACTATAGAGACAAAGTAGAATAACACAATTAGAAAATATCAGGTTGCAACATCAAGTAGCAAAACAATCTGTTTTAAAGTCTTAAAATGAATGAGACCAGAGGTCTTGTGCCAAAAAGATTCAAATGGCTGCGCCCGCTCTTACACAGAGAATAAGGTGAATACGATATAAACAAGCAACAATCGGAATATATGCAATAATGCAATAACAAAACTTTCCTTGGCATGAAATCTCATGAAGTCTTTTGATTCCAAAAATGCTTAAATTGAAAATTTCACCAAATATATAATGGAAGTCATCTGCTCATTAACAGATCAAGAAAAAATGACAAAAACCAAAGAACTGTCCTGTAATGCAGGCATGTGCAGTACTCAAATTTTTCAATAAACTAGTGAACTTAGTAAATGTATTTTGCAATTTCTAATAAGAAATGTGTGTAGAAATGTGTCTAAAAAGAAGTGTGTGTAGATAAGAAACACAGTGATGCACCAACCTTCCGTTTCTCTTTTGGCTTCTTCTTCTTTGGTAGCGCTCCATCTTTGTCCGGCTTTTCTTTCCTCCTCTCCTTCTTGGAGTCTTTTTTCTTCTCTCCATCTTCTTCAGAGCTGCTGGCGTTCTTCTTCTTCTTTTTCTTTACGCTGGTCTTCTTGGGTGGTTCGAGGTTTATTCCAGCATCTGCCGTCCAGTCGGAATAATCGCTGGAGTAATCACTGCAAATGCAAACAGACCCAGCATATATGTGTGTGGCTCTGGCGTATGTGGATTAGGAAGGATTATGTCAGATATTGGGCCTGTCCAGTCTGGTCACTTCATGCGTTTTCTCTGATCAGATGGCTGTTTGATTTGTGAAAATGGATCCATTTAAATTTGGCCCAATATCAATCCTATCTTCAAATTCTGTGCTATATGCAAATTAAACTAGGATACATCAATTAAAGCGTCAGATACACCGCATTTAGTTTAGTTATTATAAAATTTAAGCTATCCATCTTGTTTATCATTCAAAAATGTCATACTTAGGCAACAGGAGGCATTGCAGTTCACTTTTATTCCAACAATACATTAATTATTGTCATGGTAGGCTAAATGAAACATCTATTTTTGTCATACAGATACAAATCTGTAAAGGGTTTACATTAATTTATGTATAACATAGTCTCCCAAAAACAAAACATTGAGCCTTTGTAAACAAATTAAATGCTGTATTTTATTTTTCTATTATTAGTTATTATTATTATTTTCACAGGAGCATGATGCATCTCTGTTGAAAATCTGCCATTTGGTATTAATTTAACATGATATTTGAACTGCTTAATGCTTAAGGACTGGTAAAATATGTAATTAAATGAAAAAAAAAACTAAACAAACATCCCAAACTGACATCTGTAGCGTTGTATGTGTTGCATACTAGTGCTGTTATACATAACTATGTAATATAGCCCATAATAAAGGTTATGAATGTTCATAGCACCTTGTGGAATCTATGCCAGACATAAGGGGGTCTTATTTGATCCTAGCAAAGGTCTCCCTATTAAAGATGGTCAGTGAGTGTATGGCACTGTGAGGTTTGAAGGTAGTGAATGTTTACCTGGAGCTGCTGTTTTCATCAGGCCAGGGTTCTTTCTCCTCTCTCTCCTCGTCTGATGATTCTCTACTGGGAGGTCTTACTTCTGTCTCTCCCTAAAAAGCATGAAAAGTTCAAGTGTTTGAAGCCAGTGCGATGAATTGAAAAACATTTTTCCATGTCACTGCTCAATTCAGCATTTTGTCTTGTGACTGATTACATGAAATAATTGCAGCATAAACAACCGGGAAAATACAAAATATTCACAAACAAGTCTGCGACACTAAATTGACTAAAACAAGAGAGTATAAAATATTCATGTGTTATTTGCATCAAGCAATCCAAACTAATGACTGGCTGACTGCTGATTAAAAAAATAAATCCTGATGCTTTCTGTTTCTAATCTGCAAGTAAAAACAATAGATCTTCAAACTACAATAATTGTTGAAGGATTGTTAAACATTTTTTCATGCTGAAAACTATAATTTGGTGTAGGAATGTACAATACAGACAGTATGAATCTGGTATAATAGCTCTATAGACTGAGAAACTTTGTATTGAAGCTACACTGAAACACCACTCACACTCCTAACAGAGATTTTAACAGTACAGATGGAGCAATAACACTTCAGACAGAATGGCAATAAAAAAGACAATCACCACAATAACTAGAACCATTTTAGCTTTCAATGCTCAAGTCTGTATGGACTCACAATTGACCCAATGTACTTTTCCAATAGACGTTTCAGTGGAGTGAATGATTAATCTATGACAGCCTTTTAACAAAAGGTAATAACTTGCACCGCCTCTGAAATGACTTTCATTTTCCACTGGTGTCACCAGATTTCTCAACCACCTGTCATACAGAAACCGTTTCCCTTTAATACAATCCATGTGTGACGAAAAGTCCCATGTAGTACATCATCTGTCATTGAATATTGTTTCTCTCTTAAAGAAGCCACATATACCATTCAAATGTGTAGGGCCAGTATGGTGGTATTTGTAAAAGACTTTTTCAGCTGAGATGCATTAAAAGGTTTCAGTAAAGCCTTTGGTAACACTTAAGTTTAGGTCACAACTCATGCTATTAACTACTGGCTTATTACCTGCCTATTATCAAGATATTAACTGTTCATTAGTAGTTAAAACTTATGATCCTAAAACGCTTGCATCCTTAATCCTACCCAGGACTTTAGTAACTATAAATAAACAGTTAAAAGTTTTAGTTATTGGTTTGTTAATATTGTGAATTGTGGCCTAAACTAAAGTTATCAAGACTTTTTCTTTTTGTTTCTGAAAACAATATAAAACCTGCTCTATAGCTTTAAAGTTTTAGAAAGTAAAATGAGTAATGTATAAACATAAATACTAAATTACATTCAATATCATTTATAAAAACAGCAGGCATATATCCAGTCTACCTAAAATTAGTTTTATATAACTCAATATAAGCTATAACTCAATATGCTAACTGTTTTAGTTTTTTGAGGATGCATTAAATTAGGGCTGCACAATATATAGTTTCAGCATCGATATCGATATAGTCACATCGCAGTATATGCAACGTCGAGTTGGGACTATAGTTGATCAACACAAAAGTTGAGAATACATTAGATTTGTCATTGCAAAGCATAAGTTTAGAATTTGCATGTTTTTAAAGGCATTTCAAGAGAGTTTAAAACATTCAGGCACAAAAAAGCACATTTGTTACTTTAATGAAGAATAGTTTTACTGAATTATTAATACAATGAAAACTATACAGTGTTATTTTACATTTCATAATTTAATTTCTGTACCTTAATACAGTTTGACTCCCATAAACCATAAAGCACTGTTTATTTGACTCTTTTCTTTGCTCTATTGTATTATTTTTGCCTTAAAAATCAACCCAATCAATTTAAATTAAGAATGTCTTTCCAAATAGAGCTATTCAAGCTATCTGGTGAAATTTGATTCATTTATATCGCAATTTACATTGCAGAAAAACAAAATATTGCATTGTCGGATTTTTCCAATATCATGCATGCCTACATTAAACTAATAAAATGGACGTTTATAATGTTATATAAGATTTTTTATATTTTTACGCTCCACTGTTTAAATTCCTATTCAGAAAAAAAAAAAAAACGAAAGCATCCTGGTTTTCAGCAGCACAACTTTTTTTCAAACACTGATAATAAGAAAAAGAAATGTTTCTAAACAGCAAATTGCTTTATTACAAAGATTTCTGAAGGATTAAGTATGAGTAAAGACTGGAGTAATGGCAGTTTTACCAATAAAACTTTAACACATTTAGAATAAATTACATTTAAAATATATTAAATTAGATAACAGCTAGTATCTATTTCATTTTTATTTTACAATATTTATTTCTAATTGACATAACTGTATTTCAAATCAAATAAATGCAGCAGAACTCACAAAATGTTCATTAATTATGTGATTTCATTGACTTAACTATTATTTAAAGGCATTCTGCAGGTTTTGTTTTTGTACCTCAGAGGCGCTGTGTTCTTCCTCGTTCGGTTCACTCTGACGACTCGTTTCCTCCACAGCCAATCTTGTGTGGTAGTTATGCTGGTTACCCTGGTGACGGCGCCCCTCCTCCGCTGCATTTTCTATAGCATGCTGGTATGATAAATACATACTTTAATATGCATTTAATTTGCAACAATGGCTTTAGCAACACGTTATCAAGATGCACTCAGCTGGAAGTTGCATCACACATTTTGTGCACTCAATTAGGCAGATTAGTTGGATGTTTTTTTTAGTAATATGTTTTCAAACTTATGATCAAGCATGGTGATTTACCCGGTTTTCTCTGTGGTATTGGCTGTGTAAGCTGCGTCTCCTCCTCTCTGATCTGTAGATGTTGATCTCCTCCTCTCCTTTAGCTGTTCTCCAGATCTCCTGCTTACTGCATTCACAAACACACAGACACATAGAAGCATCACCAACACGTCATCTGTCAACAATCTGCAGAAACAGTAAAAAGTAAGATATGAGAAGGTCTTGTTTGAGTTTAAGCTGTGTATGAAAATAAAATAGATTAACGAACATTTTGACTTCATTGTACATCAAAGAGTTATTTAATTAAATAAGGAAAATGGTTTTATGCGGCAGTTTTGAATATTGAAATTCTTTTGTTTTTTAAACATGTTTCAAGCTTCACTATTTTAACCTGTTAAGTAATGAAGTCTGCTTGCTGTTTTTTATTTTTATTTTGGTGCGTTAATGTTGCTGATAATATCATTCAGAAGCTCATGAATCACACTTGTTTAATAATTACTTTATATAGCTTTATTTCACATTAGGAGATGCAAAACACAGGCAGTTCAGCAAAATGCCTTCCTCAGTGCGTGACACAATCTTCTCACTTCACCCACTTACTCCACAGTCAATCACATTCCCTCATTAGTTAGACGACTACTCAATAGTTAAAACATCTAATTTTCATTTCAATATAGCTAACACCTGTAAAAGCCTGTAAAAGCATTATCTCCATTGTACTTTTCAATTATTATTATTCACTTATTCATAGCTTTGTCAATACAATGAAATTCCCACAGTCCAAAACATTAAAAATACAATTATTTGTTTCATTATACACTCGAAATCCATGATTCACAATATCTTTAGGCACAGACATTTTAACATATACACTGCATTATGGGTAGAGCAGGTAATGTAGGTTTTTATTTTAATATTTTAACCTGTTACTGGATTCAAAAATCCTTTACACTTCACTAGATTCTGACATGTGGCACAATTTCTGTATGGAAAACAACCTTTTATAAAAGTAGATTTCTTATTTCTTACTATATCTGAATTAATCGTCATATCTGACACATTTTATAATCTTATAAAAGTAAATAATGGATGATGTTGAAATTTATTATTGATGTCATATGATGTTACATTTATTATACTGTTTTGACCTGCACATTTACCATGTTTTTTGTTTTGTTTTTTTTGTTTTTTACAGTAAACAACATTCTGTGCTTAGTTTGTGTGTGTTTTATAGACAATTTCCAGTTCAATGTTTTACTGAAAGTAAAATGTAATTAAACATAATTGTGTTGGCTTTATTATGAATGTAAATGTGTAATCCATTCATGAGTAGGAAGGTTTCAGTAACCATTATTTACAAATATGAATTACATATCTGTTTACAATTTAAATGAAATATTGTTAATTCACAAATACTGAATCAAACGGAATCAAAACCATATAAATAAAAATTAAACTGAATCACCAAACTGGTTGCAATACCCAACCATACTTGGAAATATTTCAGAACAAAAGTAAACACTTGACACTATTTTGTCTAACACATTGTTTGTTAAATGTTGTTTGTCACATTTATCATCACAATAATACACTGTAAATCTAAAAAAACATGACTTTTACTTGAGTGATACTACTTCATTATTTTATATCTCATATATATCTTTCTCTCTTCAAAAATGTCAAATTATTTGGTCATTCTTGCTGAATTTTAATAGGCTTCATCCTGCAATGAATGCTTTTGGAATCTCAAGATGCACTTTGTATATACACTACATACCCACTACCCAAAAATATTATGACCTATCGCTTCCTTTTAACAACAATTATTGGATTATTCATGTATGTTTATGTTTTACCAGGCTATGGCTAGTGATAGTTCAGGAACGAGGACTCGTCGGCTCCAGGCCACCAGGTCTCTTTCAGTGGCAATCTCGCTGCGTGGAGCATTACTGTGCATCTGCCGAACACCTTCAATCTGTCCACTGCGTCTCAGACCCACATTTGGTGGAGAAGTGACTTCTGTGGGAGAGCTGACAGATCCTACACAAACAGCAGATATACAGTTTCAACATTATAGATATTCATCATTACCCCCAAACTGGTTCATAGAGGTTCATCTGATAAGTACTCATGATTTACAATATTTGACAAAATATTTGACTTGTCGAAACTTTGGCTTGTTCACAAGTAGCTTTTACTATTGTGTAAAATCCAAATTTACAATATTTTTTACTAGCACATTGTTATTCAATATAATTTTTATTCCTTAAGTGAACAATTAATCCATGCCAGTTAATTCACAGAAAAAAAAAAATTTTTTTTGGTCATTTTCAATCAAAGTCTGACCATTGGCTTCTGTATTTGGAGTGGCGGTCCTTCTCTAATGACACCAAATTGGCGACTTCAGCCACAAGATACTTAACCACACCACTTTTACCATTAGTTTACTATGAAGGAATGGTGTGCAAAAAAAAAGCCCCGCCCCCTACTCAATGTTCCGTTTCAGTTGTTTGTTAACATACTGCACTAAAAGTCTCAGCAACTTCCGGTTGAAACTAATGCAAATAAATTCCATGAAGTGAGGCTGAAATAGAAACACATTTTTGAAAATTATTCCATTAAATTACTTAAAATTAAGGTTTTTGTAAAATGTTCCTTATGCAACTAACTGGAAAAGGAAGCACTGAAAAGATAAGCCAAACAAATAACATAAATAACTAAAACGTAAACTAAACTGATAACAAAAGTAATGAAATTTCACTAATCTGGGATGCGTTTCCCAAACAATGACATAAATTGTGGCTAAACTACTATAGTATGATGCGTCATTTGGGAAACAAACGAAGTATTAACAAAGTATTTCCCAAAATCTTAGTTGTTCTTTCGCAGATCTGTTGTTTGAACCACATTCATTATGATGTAAAACGTCCATCATCCATGTAAACAACATCATAACATCTTTCACAATAAATTATTATTTTTGTAATAATTTTGTTTTAGACACACACACACACACACATTTTTTCAAAATCTAATATTAGTTTTGGTAAAAACATGTCAACTGCACAAATAGGGCCTATATTCCTTTAAACATTATGGATAATATTCCATATTCTATTCTAAAACATAAATCCGCTTACAATAGCTAGCACGTACACTATCGGTCCAAAGTTTGCGGTAAGTAGAATTTTTAAATCCTTTAAAATAAGCTTATCCTGCTCACCAAGGCTGCATTTATTTAATTAAAATAACACTATAAGATGCACTATAAAATGCACTTCAAAATGCACTATAAAATAACCGTTCAATAGTAGTGTATAATTTATAATACAGTCTCATCTCATATAGGCCATAAATCAGATATATGGTCAAATAATGATGTAAAAACTACTTTTATTTATTTGTTGCCATAAATACATTTAGGTCCAAAAATACTATTTTTTTTCACTAGTTTTAGAGATGTAACAGATGTCTGTTGTAAATGATAGGTCACCTATAGCTTCTGAGTCGCAGCTACGTTCAAAATGGCCTAAATGATTTCGAAGTGCACTATGAAGAGAGCGCAATTGTCAATCTGGAGTTTACTAACTGTGAAAAATTACTTTGAAAGCAAAGTACACATGAGAGAGATAACTGTAAGCTTTTTTTTATTAATCAAAGTGGATGTTGGAACTATGGAAAGTAATAGGGCAAAGAGGGTATAACAGAATAGAACACAACCAGGAACTCTGCTTCTTACTACAGCTCAAGAAAAGTATTTGCTACCGCACACGTTTTCAACACAATTTGCGAATGGTCACTGGAATGCAGCATTCGAGAAACGCCATATTTTAATGATGGAGCTTGCGACCTTAGATGGCTAACGATGGTTTTCGGAAATGCACCCCTGACTTGTTGATTATTTAATTATAGCCTCAAAACTACATGTGAAAAACAGAGAGTTTGTATTACCTCTGTTGGCTCTGCTGTCAGAGCCCAGCCTCTGGTCCTGCTCTTGCTGTAGTCTCTGGATCATACTATCAAGTGGACTCGAGCCTTCTGCAGCCTGCTGACTTACCACTTGATTTAGCCCTAAAATACCAGAAATAACACTGATTACAGCTCAGTGACAGATTGATGGTGCTTGTTTGTGAAGCCTGTGAGTACAAACAAGTCACCATTAATTACTCTAACTAGTAAAAGCGCAGAAAGAGGTCAAAGAGAAACACTCGTACCTGATGAGGTGAGGCCCATCTGGGGTATGAGCTGCTCTTCTCTGCAGTTTTCTCGGCCTGGTACCAGTCTTTGGAAGCGCGGAGGGTGAGGGTTTCCATCCACGTCCACCAGGAATGGCGGGGGCATTAGGTGAGGCGCCTGCTGAGTCTGTTCGTCCAGCACAAAGTTATGGGCATCGCGGATCAGCGGCCGATAATCCGTGTGGAAAAACATCTGATCTGCTATCTGAGGAACACATGAATAGATACATTCAGACTAAATACATACAGAGCAAAGCTAAATATTGACCAACACAGCTTCAAACAAACAGAAGGAGACTGCATGGAACAGCAATTGATGATATCATTCTCATTTCTGATACAGATGCACTACATTTATCAATATTACAGACTTCAGTATCTAAAATATTACTGTCCAGTTGTTTACAATTACATTAGTTTCACAGCTATAATGTTTATGCGTTATATTGTAAACATAAACATTTAAATGTAAAGCATCTGTTGTGTAGTAAGTACATGTTTATGATGTCTGTGAATATTACTTTTTTAATTTCCAGGTGTGACCTACAGACAGGTGAATCTTATGTTCTTGTAAATACTATCATTTTTTGCAAATCTCAAAATCCAATCATCATAATGCTGTCATACCTAAATTCACCTGTAGCATTTAAAGTGATCGATGCGAGTTGTTTTATGTTTCACTTCTTTAGACAAATACTATCTCAACACAAACAATTTAACAAGTTACTGATCTTAACAAGAAATTACTGGCTAATTAATACAGTGCATTTTATATTTCATTTTTATTATAAGTACATTCCTCATTTTTGCAGCAAGAACTTTTTATACTGTGAAATGTCATTATTAATAACTAAAACAAACAATTACAAAAAAATCTACTTATAAAAAAATACTACTAAACATCATTTTTGATCATTGTAAGCTAAATAAATTAGATAAAAGATATTATATGAAAAACTTCAACTTACGAAACCTGAATAAAATTAAATTTTATTCCGTCTTTTTTAAGAAAGACAATTTTACTAAAAAGAAATACAATTTTCAGAAATAAATAAACCCAAATCAAATAATATATTTGAAGCAAATAAATAAAAAAATAACTAAATAAAATAATTAATCTACTTACAGTTAAAGATAGAATTATTAGCCCCCTGAATTATTAGCCCCCCTGTTTATTTTTTCCCCCAATTTCTGTTTAACGAAGAGAAGATTTTTTTCAACATATTTCTAAACATAATAGTTTAATAACTCATCTCTGATAACTGATTTATTTTATCTTTGCCATAATGATAGCAAACAAAAAAAGTGATATTTAAAGGCTTAACTAGGTTAATTAGGTTAACTAGGCAGGTTAGGGTAATTAGGCAAGTTATTGTATAGTGAGGTTTGGTTTGTAGACTATTGAAATAAATATATAGCTTAAAGAGGCTAATCATTTTGCCCTTAAAATGTTTTTTAAAGAATTAAAAACTGCTATTATTCAATCCAAAATACAACAAATAAGACTTTCTTCAGAAGAAAAAACACTATCAGACATATGGTAAAAATTCCCTTGCTCTGTTTAACATCGTTTGAGAAATATTTAAAAAAGACAAAAAAATTCTAATTGGCGCTAATAATTCTGATTTTAAATGAGTCTTGCTTTGATTAACAAATATGTGGATCTAAGTGGATTTATATTGTAAACATTAATTAAAAATGAAAAAGGTATTAATTTTTATTACATATATAAAGTTTTAAAAAATCAAAGGGGGGCTAATAATTCTGACTTCAAGTGTATATAAAGACACTATTGATAACTGAAAATAAATAAATGTATTCACAATTTTAGTTTGAATAACACTGCCCGTAATACCATATCAAAGATTAAAATGCCAGAGTTTGACCATCTATTTCCTGTGTATTAACTGATTAAAAACAAACATCATTTTGTAAGTCATTATTTAATCAGCCGGCCAAAACATGGAATAAAAGTGTAAAATAGCTGCTTTTACAGCCAAGACGATAACTAGACAAGACTGACTTAGTTAAACATGCAACATAATGACGTCACATGACATGATATTCCATATATAATGAAGCAGCTCGCATGCAGTAGGCACTAAGCTAATATTTAATTCAGAGACAGACATTTCAGTACCTTGTCATATCTGCTGCTGGAGCCAAAGCCGAATATAAGCAGGTGACCGTGAGAGTCTGTGCAAGCGAAGTGCTGACCGTCTGGAGAACACTTACAGTCAAACACTGCACCATGTCCCTGACCCTCGATCTACACGCAAACACACACCAAAGCAAAAAAACACAGTCCATTTTCAAGTATCAATACACAGTTTTGGGTATTTGATTTTACTAAAGGTTAACACAGGTTTGACCAAAAACACACACACTACGACCTAATAAAAGACATGGAGTGGAGCTGGTTGTTTTACCATGTTAAAGTAAGAGCGTATTTTGACTCCTCTAGCCAGATCCCAGACGATTGCATTCCCATCGTGCCCAGCAGAGAAAAGCACTCTGGAATCAAACGGATGAGGCTCTAACACAAACACCTCGTCCTCGTGGCCCTGTGGGTGAAAACGCCATCATGAGTCACCATCGCATACTGGCTCCTATCAATCATTCAGAGATCTTCACACTCTTACCATCAGCACGTGGATGAGGTTCCCCGTGTACGAGTTCCACACTTTGAGCGTCAGGTTGTTGGCAGCGGTGATGACTGTGTTGTCGTTGCAGTCCCAGGCTACCATAGTCACTTTCAGCTTGGTAACTTTGTCCTCTAAAGGTGGAGGGTTGTATTTGCTAAGGAAGACAGAAAGAAATGAGAGTTGAAAGATCAAAAATAGAGATGACATTTCTAACTTTGCTTTCAGGTGGCCTATATTCCAAGAGCAAGAGCAATGATATACTAAATAATATATTGAAATAAAAACTATATTATACAAACTATATTACAATTAGTATAAAGATTATCATGCAATTTGTGGCCATGATCTTAATCATTTCATTATATTGGAATAATAAGTCTAGAATGACTTGCTCTAAAAGGTGCAAGCTTTAATGAACAACCAGTATTTGATTCCTTTGTGGTGTTTCAGTATGTGGTGCTGCCATAAACTAATAACTAAACACTTTTTAAATTTTTAAATTGACGGCTAAATGGCTACAGTGGATCACTAGATTTCCATTTTAATTTAGGTGAATATATTTTCAATTTTTTTTTTTTTTTAGATTCATAGTTGGACATTGAAAAAAAATCTACCCAGGCTCATTATTAATAGATACCCCTGCATAGATTTCTGGACAGTGGGAAATACATCCCAGAAGTTATGTTTTTTTTTTTTTTTTTTAGCAAATCCACCAAAGGATGCTGTGTACGCTTTTCAAATCTCAAAGTTATTTTGCGAGAGCCATTTGGGCCTGCTCTTCTAGCAAAAAATCCACTATAGACCGCTGTCGACTGAATGACCAACTGATAGTGTTTTCAAAAGCACCAATTGACTCAACCACTGGCCTCCCTAAACTGAACTTACAGTGTTTTCAAAAGCAATCCAGAAAAAGATAAGCCCTTGTGGCCGCATGATTTTTACATTTTTAGGTCTTACCACATTCTCACCCTGTTGTTTACTGTTATTATTTTATTTTTTGACTTTTGTTTTTGTTTGACCTGCTTTCTGCAACCGTTCTTCGCCGGGCTCAAACCCTGTCATCGTGATCAACTCCTCTTAGCGTCTCAATAATTTGCCGACGTATGCGGCGAGCCACTGAGCAAACTAGTAACAGCAGAAAAGCCGTCCACATGGAGGTAACCAGTCAGCTGGTAGCACGAAAAGAAAAAGAAGCTGTCTGCAATGTCATACCACCACCTAGCATTCATTTTTTAGACAAAATGCAGCCATACGTAGTTCTAGCTACATAATTTGCCAACATAGGCTTATTAGAAGTAGCCTTATATATGTTTATGGAGATCAGGAATTATGTAGCCAGAAGTATGTATGGCTGCATTTTATTTTTAAAACAAATGCTACGGGGGCAGTATTGCCGTTCCTTTTCGCGCTTACCAGCTGACCGCTTACCTTCATATGGACAGCTTTCCCTCTGTAACCAGTTTGTCCTGTTAGCTTGCCATGTACATCGGGGGACTTGAGACGTAGAGAGGAGTTGACCACGACGACAGAGTCCGGTGAAGAACGGTTCCATAAAGTAGGTAAGACAAAAACAGAATCCAAAAAAAAAAAAAAACCAAGTAAATAACAGAGGGAGAACGTGGTAAATTCTGAAAATGTGGTAAAAATCGGACGAGGACTTTTTTTTTCTGTATTGTCTTTTAAAAATTGTTGGTTGGGTTTAGGGAAGTGGCTGGGCGGGTCAATCAGTCGATCAATAAGTTAGTCAGTCATTCAGTCAACAACAGCCTCTGGTGGGTTTACGCAAGAACAGCAGGCGCGAATAGCACCCGCAAGAGTAATTTGACATCTCAAAAAGTGTACACAGTGGCCTCATGGATTCACAGAAACTGCACAAAAATAAAGTACCTCATGGTACGTATTTCGCAGTCTCCAGAAATGTATATTGAGGTACATTTTCAGAATGAGCCTGGGTTGTAATTTGCGCTCTTCAGAATTGTATACAGGGGTATGTTTTCACAATGAGCCTTTGTTGGAAAAAAATTCTTTTTTTAATAAGTAAAATCTGATCAAGGTGTTATTGCATTTTTTTTTCTGCACCGTAATATTAATTAGTTTAATATTGTTCAATTGTGTTAGACTAACTAATGAAATACAGACATTGTTTCACTCTTTATATTTAAAAAAAAGGTTTCATGGGACCCTCTGAACGTAGCCCATTCTCATACGCTGCATAATATCACTGCGCCTGATGCAGCAGCACAGTTTCTTGACTATTATGCCAGAATGAGAGCATAGTTCCTAGCAATAGAAAATAGTATTTTTAAATTTTCCCTCAGACTTATTACACTTCGTAACTACACAAGACACAAGATTTAAATAGGAAACTTATCTCAATTATTTATTATTATTTTAATCAAATTGCTATTAGTCAAATCAGATTTAATTCGGCATGCTAAGCTAAGCGAATACTGACCTCGCTAGAAGAAATTGGCTGAATGGATTCAAAAAATGGTTCAAATCAAAGTTTAACTCTAAGAGACTTGTAAAATGAGCCTTTATCAAAAAATGTCCTTCAATATGTGGTTAAATACAATTAAATATTTAGAGAGAAAAAACGTCACCAATTATCATTAAATAGTGGAGAAAAAGCAATAAAACAAAATGATAAAATACCCAAATATAATGATTGTTTGTTGTTTTGTATTGTTTCATTTAGTTTAGAAAACAATCAGCTTGGCAAACCGAATGGTGTCGCTTCTATGTGGTCAAAATCAATTAATCTCACGGGACTCAAAAGTAATTATGCCGCTAATGATCACTTGTTTAGCCAACAAAATGTAGCATTAATGCACAATTAATTGAGCCATACTTTTAAACGGTGATTAATGTTTGTCTTACCCAGGTAGTTTAGTGGCCATGTCCAAGAGAATGCTCCGCCAGTCCTGCTGCTGCAGCTGCCAGATCCGCGCCGTGCCGTCTCTACTGCCACTCACAAACCTGCACACACACACACACAAACACACGTTCATGCTGGCAAATGTCACTTATACCAATAAATACTCTGAGGCCTCATGAAAGCAAATGAGTAAAGGCACACTGTAATAAAATCTTAATTTGCTTTAATTGAAAAGTTCAGCTCTGCCTTGTAGTGTTTAGTTAAAATTAAAGTGGTACAAATTGCAGTGATAAACTCATTCCACTTTTTAACCGATTTGAATTTACCTTCAGCAGGATATGAGCTGGAACTTTATTGAAAAAACTATTATGTATTACCCTCTAAGGCAGTTATGTGTTAAAAGGGAATTTCTTTTAAAAAAATATGCTGTACTATTGATTTTCTTTCTTTAGTACAACATTAAAGAAGAAATTTGAATCTGTGGTCCCTGGTGATAAAAATGGCCATAAAATACAGGTCAATGGCTACTGGCACATTGAGACTCAAAAAACATACATACAGTTTCTTGAATAGACCGATTGTTTTGCTTCATTAGACCACCAAAAGTCATGGGTATTCATTTTTGCTGACTTACATTTTATAAATTTACAGAGGATCACAGTTTCAAATAAAAATCTACTCTAATGTCTATTCTCTTATCTAATATAGTTCTAAAGAAAAAAGCCACCAACATCTCAGATCGTTTGAGGGTGCTTTTTTCATTTTTTAGGTGAACGATCATGTACCGAGGGTATGCAAAAAGATAGCACTGAAACTATTCAGTATTAGTATGTAATTATTACACATGCATCCATGTTGTGTATTGACCTTATATTTCAAGTAAGAGCGGGCGCAGCCCTTTGAACCTTTTTGGCTGGACACTTTCAGTCTCATTCACTTCAATTGATTTCTAGATGTTAAAAATGACTCATTATGCTGCTTGATGTTGATCTGATATTTTTTATTTGTTTGTAGAGAAATAGTGTGACCATTTTCTGACGTTTATTATGCCTAGTAATTTCTCCCATAGCCAACTGAATTCGAAGTTCTAAAACAATCGCAAAAATGAGCGCTCTTCTGCATTGAAGAATAAGGTCAATACAAATGTGCATATAAAACAGTGGTGTTATTTTTATTTCTATGTGAAGTCACCCTATATCTTTGAGAAGAAAAAGGGTTGCCTATTAAATTTTGGGTAACACTTTATTCAAGGTCTCATTGTTACATATGCTACACATATGCAGCTGTATTAGATAATGTTAATTAATGCATTCATTGACATGAGCAAACAATGAATAATATGTTTATTACAGTATTTATTCCTCTTTGTTTACATTAGTTAATGGAAATACAGTTGTTCATTGTTAGTTTATGTTAACTCATGATGCATTGACTAATGTTAACAAGCATGAATTTAGATTTTAACTATGATTAATAAATGCTGTACATGTCACTATCACCAGCAATCTAATTATTTTAGATCGCCAGTAAACATGCAGATTGCCATTTTTTTCTAATACTTCTGTAAATAGTTTTTGTATGAATAGAAGACCATGTAAAGAGATGTGTTGCTTTAGTTTTATTTCCATGATTAGGGATTTTATTTGGAGAGGTTGCTGTCAAAATGTCTAACAGATGTTGTGTATTGTATCTAGAATGTTTAAAATGATTTAACAGGTGACTGATTGGGTAGCTTTACTTGGAAATAGTAACATTAAACATTTAGGAACATTTTTTAAATGATGTAAAACTTACAACACAATATTTCAGTGAATTTTAGACTTTTAAGGCCTAAAATTTAGTTTTTGAAATGTAAGCCTTTTTAAGACCTTGCAGACACAATGTTTACATCTTTAACCACATCATTTTCACAATTTTTGTCTTCATAGAATAAAAACAGCCTGCTAATAAGGTAAAAAAGTCCAATTTAAGATACATATTCTGACGTTTTAGTATTTTGTGCAGTTTTGCTTCTCCATTTTATCCTAGAATTTTTAGATATCTGTGCTGGAAAACAAGATATAAATTGAACGATATAAATCAATTTAATTTGGCTGTTTTTCACATAGCATTACAATGAAATACTTTATAAAACGTTTTAAAAGCACTGTTTTAATAGGTTGTTTTTACATGACATCGGGTAATTCAAATGGAGGACAGGAAGTGATTCTTCTACATAGAAGAACATTCAGAACATCAAAATGCTTCTGTTTTATGTTGTATATTTGTTTAAATCGGCCAATATAAGAAATGACGAACAGCTTTTATAGATGTTCAAAAGTTTTTGCTCATAAAGAGGGGAAACTGGCTGGAAAACGGAAGAAAAGGTGGCATGTAATAAACATTCTTTCAATTCATTCTTGTGTACAAACTTTTTTGAACGAGATAGTTCATATGACAGCACCAATAAATATTATATACAGGCCTATTTGTTTAAATATGTGTTAATAATAATAAACAAGTGTTATTTAAAAATTGGATACTACAAATATCACACCTATAGAAAAATCCAGGAGAATATAAATAACGTACCCTGCCATATAATCGCTGTAATGAAATGTCTGTCATGTTTTGCAATAACACATGCCTATAGCGTTTTGGAGGAATAAACAACCGTAACGTGAACATCGAGATGCGGAGCAGCTGTGAATGTTTGTTGATGGTAAGTTTATCGACCGAACAAAAAAGAAATGCAACCCTTGCAACAAACCTAGATGGTTATTATTGTGGAGCACTTTTCCCCCTTACAAAAGTAAATAAATAATAATGTAGACTATGCGTCCACACTTTTATATGCTTTCATTTGTTATTTTGTGATGTATAGAAGATATCTGCATGGGGAAAAACTTCAGTAATATATAATAAACGAGTTTTTGACCCACATAGTAAAGTGTATAATGTGTATAACTCTTAATGAATGCTACAGAATACTGTAGCATGGTAAACTGATAAACTGTAATAAATACTGTAATTTTAGTGTAAACTGTTGTGCATTGAAATGGTGTAGTGTAGAAAACTGAAGTCAATTGAATAATTTATTGCTACAGTGTTGTACCACAGCAACAATAGAACTACTATGACAGTTTAATTCCAGCAATTATCTATATGCTTCCAAACACTATAGTATTTACAATTGTATTTTTCATGTAACGTATACAGTATCTACCGCCTCGATGACAGGCAGATATATTTAAGGCCCTCTTTATAATATAAGGATCATGCCCAACATATGTGGTTATGTTTTTTTAATATCTTTTATATATATTATATATTTTACTTATATCTTATAAATATGGTATAAATCGCAAAAATACTGACTTTTCTCTATGTCTCCCATTCAGTTTTTTTCACTTCCTGCCCTCCATATGAATTTTGCACATCACCAGAACCGCATGATTGGAAACTGCCTATTCGTGTTAACTTTTTTCATATAATATTATGCATCTATTGTGTATTTTGTGCTCGGCAGTCCTTTTGTCCAAGAAAAATTTCCTTATAGACAAAAAAAGAAACCTAAAATTTATATGAACAATGCATTACACTCAAAGTTTGTGGCTGGATCTAATTTTCCATGAAATGATAAGTCTGCATTAACATTAGACTGCATTACTCTGAACTAGTATAAATCTATAAATGAGTCAGAATACATTAATCTCAAATAAGACAATGTGCTGCATGTTTCTGCATGCTGTCTACTTATTTGTGACATAGTTTTCTTCTTTTTGACAGTATTTCCTGCAGGTCTAATGATTGGTGAGCTTTCACCCCTTCTAACACGTAACACTGGATGCCGCCGGAGCCGTAAAAAGAATCTGTTCATGTGAATATCCATCTTTTTAATTCCTCAGGGACCTGTTACAGACCTCTCCGTCTTATTACTCCCCTTCTTTCTCTCTCCTCCGTTTCTCCCTCTTCTCCTGTCGGTTTTCCCCTTCCCCCAATGCAAAAACATTTGCTCATTAAAATAGAGTGAGTGAGAAGCATAAAAGAGCTTGCGGAGACCGAATAAGGGCTGGTGTGTGTGTTTAACTGTCACATGCCGGTTGTTTAAGTAGAAAGATGTTTCATGCACTTGAATTCTTGTACTGCAGTTTATTGCAAGCATTTGACACGCATGTTTGTGTGTGTTAGGAACAAGTTTCTTTTTTCTGCTGACAACATCAGCTCAAAGTAATTATAAGAGTCTCTGTGTTCCATTAATCCAACAAAACTGACACACACACACACACACACACACACACGTACATGATCTCACATGTACACATAGAGTTGCTTACCTGTCTCCACTATGGGAAAACTGGATGCTGTCGACTTTGTCCTGAGGAAACAAAATTAAGTCAATAAAAAACATGAGGAGAACCTCAAAACAATAAGCATTCCTGCAATAGTAAGACCAGTAGAGAGGAGGAAAATGGGGTGCTTTAATGCAACACATCCAAACACAAATTTGTCAATCACAGTGATAAGCTCTGGCCTTTTTTTACTTTTTATTAATCTAGGAACCAATCACACAGCAGAAATCTGCAACAATCGGAATGTAAAAGTGTGTTGATATTAGAGATGCACTGAATTTTCAGCCACCATTTAATGCACTCTCTAATTTTTGTGGCTTCAGGCAGTGTTGAGGTACTCTTTTAAATCTGGAAGCATTTACAGCTGATATCGAAATATATATCGACAGTTTAAAATGGAAAATAACTATAAAGATTTAATTTTTGCCATATCGCCCAGCCCTACTAATAATGTATTGATTTAAGTCAGTCTTAAGTGTAGCCTTGTTAAGTGGAATCAACTTAAAGGGATCATTCACCCCAAAAAAAATGATCTCATTTACTCTTCCATGAGGTATTAAACCTTTATGAGCTTCGTTCTTCTGTTGAGCACAAATGAAATTATTTTAAAGTTAGTTGCTGGCACCCATTGGCTTCCAAAGTAGGGAAAAGATTACTATGCAAGTCAATAGGTGCCAGCAACCAGCATTCTTCAAAATATCTTTTTTTGTGTGTGTTTACTTGAACAAGTGAAGAGTGAGTAAAAAAATGGCTAAGATTTCCCTTTAATAATCCCTTTAATAATCTCACAATTTTGACTACTAGTCTATATCATATAATATTTATTCATTCATTAATTTTCCTTTGTCTTAGTCCCTAAATTATCAGGAGTCGCCACATTGAAGTGAACCGCCACCGATTCCAACATATGTTTCATGCAACTCATACACTATGTCCAGTTTTGTTTATCCAATTCACCTATAGTGCATGTCTTTGGACTGTGGGAAAAACCAGAGCACCAGGAGGAAACCCACGCCAACAATCGTGTAACATGCTAACTCCGCAGAAATGCCTACTGGCCGGGACTTAAATAATTTTTCAATAAGTTATTTTGTGTACCGCATGCTTCAGTGAATCAAATTAAATGACATCTATTTTATTAATACAACACATTTAATTGTTCATTGTTTTGTGGGATAGTTTGTGTAATCTGACCTACAATATCCTGTAATTAGCTATTTACTGTAGGTCAAACTATACAAACTATGCATCTAATTTTACTTTACTTTTAGGCTATATGTAGAAACAAACAAGAAAAATGAACATTTACCATGTCTATCAGCTTAGATTAATCAATGTAATAATGCATTCACAGTGGTATAATCCATTATAGAGGTGGTCATATGTACAATGCATCCGGAAAGTACTCATAGCATTTCACTTTTTACACATTTATTTATGTTCCAGCCTTATTCCAAAATGTATTACCTGATTAAATATAAACAGATTTCCTCAAAATTCTACACACAATACCCCATAATGACAATGTGATTTTTTTTTTATTGTTGCAAATTGATTAAAAATAAAAACCTGAAAAATAACATACACAAAAGTATTCACAACCTTTGCAGTAAAGCTCTAAGTTGAGCTCAGGTACATTCTGTTTCCACTGATCATTCTTGAGATGTTTCAGCAGCTTAATTGGAGTTCACCTGTGGTAAAGTCACTTGATTTGACATGACCTGAAAACGCATACACCTGTCTATATAAGGTGTCAGGGTTGACAGTGCATGTCAAAGCACAAACCAAGCATGAAGACAAAGGAATTGCCTGTAAATCTCCGAGACAGAATTGTTTCAAGGCACAATGCTGAGGAAGTTTACAGAAAAATTTCTGCTGCTCTGAAAGTTCCAATGAGCACAGTGGCCTCCATCATCTGTAAGTGGAAGATGTTTGGAACCACCAGGACTTTTCCAAGAGCAGCAATCCATCAATCAGGCCTGTATGGTAGAGGGGTCAGACGAAAGCCATTCCCCACCTGGAATTTGCCAAAAGGCATCTGAAGGACTTTCAGACCATTCATTCATTCATTTTCTTTTCGGCTTAGTGGCTTTAACTTTAACGCGGGGTCGCCACAGCAGAATGAACCACTAACTTATCCAGCACGTTTTTACGCAGCATATGCCCTTCCAGCTGCAACCCATCTCTGAGAAACATCTATACACACTCATTCACACACAATTTAACCTACCCAATTCACCTGTACCGCATGTCTTTGGACTGTGGGGGAAACCGGAACAACTGGAGGAAACCCACGCAAACACAGGGAGATCATGCAAACTCCACACAGAAATGCCAACTGATCCAGCCGAGCCTCAAACCAGCGACCTTCTTGCTGTGAGGCGACAGCACAGCACTGCGCCACTGTGTCGCCACTCTCAGACCATAAGAATCAAAATTCTCTGGCTAAAATTGAACTCTTTAGAGTAAATGCAAGGCATTACATTTAGAGAAAATCAGGCACCACTCATCACCAAGCTAATACTATCCTTACAGTGAAGCATGGTGGTGGCCGCATCATAATGTGGGGATGTTTTTCAGCAGCAGGAACTGGAAGACTAGTCAGGATAAATGCAGCAATGTACAGAGACATCCTCAATGAAAACCTGCTTCAGACTGCTCTTGACCTCAGGCTGGGGCGACGGCTCATCTTCCTGCAGGACAATGACCCAAAGCACACCGCCAAAATATTATTGGAGTAGCTTCATGAAAACTCGGTGAATGTCCTTGAGTGGCCCAGCCAGAGTCCAGACCTAAATCCTATTAACATCTCTAGATATCTGAAAATGGTTGTACACTGTCGCTTCCCATCCACCTTGATAGAGCTTGAGAAGTAATGCAAAGAGGAATGGGCAAAATATCCTAAAGACAAGTGTGCCAAGCTTGTGGCATCATATTCAAAAAGACTTGAGGCTGTAATTGCTACCATCAACAAATTGGTGCATAAACAAAGTATTGAGCAAAGGCTGTGAATACTTATGGACGTGATTTTTCAGCTTTTTTTATTTTGAATAAATTTGCAACAATTTAAAAAAATCTTTTTTTCACATTGACATTAAGGGGTATTGTGTGTAGAATTTTGAGGAAATAAATGAATTTAATCCATTATGGAAAAAGACTGTAACATTAAAAAAAGTGTAAAAGTGAAGCTATATGAATACTTTCCAGATGCATTGTAAATTTAAATTTAATTAATTAATTAGTAATATTAGTTTTTAAGATGCAGACTGACAACCCATACATCTTGTTTTCACATCCTTCGAGGGGGATCAATCATTAATTAGGGAGGTCAGCTCCCCCTAATTCATACTCTGCATGTGACAAGGTGTTATAAAGTCACAAACCACATTCTAATTTGCGTGTTTATAGGGAAAAACACCACTATGCATGCTTTACCCTCCACATGATTTTAATACTCTAAATTTTAAGACTCTAAATTACATTTTACATTACATTTAGATGTAAATGTCTCCTTTACACACAAACACACACACTCATGCATGCACACGCACACACACACACATACACACTCACACACACACACTCACACACACACACACACACACACACACACACACACACACACACACACACACACACACACACACACACACACACAAATATGAAATGCAAACAAATGCATTACGTACAGTGTGAGACTCCAGCTCAGATATCTTCTCTGGTTGTCCACCTCCAAAGTAATAAACCCTAATGATGTGATCAGTGCTGCCCGTCGCCAAGAACATCCCACCTGAAATCATCAAATATCACTTAACATTACATAAAATATACCATCATCATCAATAACGCAGCATTAATGCGCACAAACACACACACACTAGAACAAAATCCATCATCAGCAAGCGTTCTGTCATCGTTTTCCTGCAGACTCAACCATGCAAGTATAACCAATAATCACAATCGAGTGTTTATGAGCAAGAAACTCAAACAGATCAAGTGAACACAGAAGAGGAAAGAACTAAAGTCAGCCGAGTGTTTCTTTTTCTTCAGAAATGTGTATTTAAAGAGCTCCCGCAGTGCCGAGCGCTCTCTTTTAAAAAGTCTGTGATATCTGTCTGACAACAAGATATTTATAGCCCCACTTTGCAGAAAAATGTTTAAGCCAAAACGATCCGTCATCACTCTATAATCTGCTATCAGCTTTCAGAACAATGGAAACACGAGAATAATCACTTCAGATCATGTTTCTATGGGAGAACATGCATTTACATAAACATGAGTGTGCTTCTTAAATATTACAGCTGTCTCAAATCGATCACAGTTTGTTGTTTGTTCATGCGAGACTGTGTGCATGACATTGACAGGCCTAATAAATAAATATAGATCTTCTCACAAAATTTATTTCATTTGCTATCTTGTTTGAGATATTATATAAAATCTGTACCACATGTTATGAAGGAAAGCAGTTCAGCACTGATCATTGTCAGGCTACATTTACACATTTGTTTCTATATAACAAATGCCGTTATAACCCCCTTACAGCTTACAGTGACATTTACAAGCTTAATTGGGTTAATTAGGCAAGTTAGGGTAATTAGAAAAGTCATTGTATAATGATGGTTTGTTGTCTAGACAATGAAAAATAATATATTGCTTAAGGGGGCTAATAATATTGACCCTGAAATAGTTTATAAAATTAAAACAAGTTTTTATTGTAGCCGAAATAAAACAAATAAGAATTTCTCTAGGAGAAATAATTTTATAGGAAATACTGAGAAAAATTTAAATATCATTTGGGAAATTACAGATTTACAGAATTACTAATAATTTTTAATGGAACAGATTTCTGACTTCAGCATATTTTCAGATTTGTATCTTGTTCTCTTTTGAACACTGATAAGGATCAGTGATAACTGATAACTGATAAAATCAGGCATGATTTTTCTCCAAACACAATTGAATTGTTTTGTAACAAATGCTATTATAATGTGTGTTTTATTTAGAGGGATAGTTCACCCAAAAAGTAAAACGGCCTCATTTATTCTCTCTAATTTGTCAAATTTTTCTTTTCTTTTTTTCTTCTGTTAAACATAAAAGATGTTTTTTTTTTTAAATACTAGTTGCTGGTACCTATTGATTTCCATTGTAGGAAAAAAATACTACTATGGAAGTCAGTGGGGGCCAAATAACAACATATCTTCTTTTTTTGCTCAAGGAAAGATGAGTAATTGATGGCAGAACTTTATCTTGTTCTAGGACTGCACAATATTTTGTTTCAGCATCTATTTTGCAAAGTGCACATTCGCAATAATCACATCGCAAAGATATGCAATGTTCGTCTGAATTACAGTTGACCAGGAGCCACAGAATTGTATTTAGTCACTGTATTTGTGTGGAATTTATATGATTTATGCAAAAAAAAAAAGAAGACATTTTTTACTTTTAATTTTTGTCTTGTTTCTTTCTAAATATCTACAATTCAAAGCGAAAACAAGGTTATTTCAATAAACCCACTGGCAGATGATTTCCTTAAAACAAGCAAAAAACTTAATTTTCACACATTTTTTCTGACGGTGAAAAGTAAACAATATTTTTACTTGGTCTAAGAATTTTTTTGGTATTTGGACTAGAAACGAGACAAAACAAAGCAAGAAAAGCATTTTATTTTTTGCATTGTGATTATTCAATTTCTCAACCTGAATACTGTTAGACTTCCCAGAAAACCGTCAAACCGAACTATTCAAACTATCTTCAATCTATCAAACTGAAACTGCAATCATTGCAATATTTATTGCAAAAAAATAAAATGTCACAATATCAGATTTTTCCAATATCATACAGCCCTATCTTGTTCTGTTTTGAATACATTCAACATTTAAATTGATATTTCACCCACAAATCATCTACTCATCCTCCAATCAATCAAAACCTGTTTGAGTTGCTTTCTTCAGTCGAACACACAGAATGATGTACAGAAAAATAGCTATTGATGTTTTGTCTCAACAGTGGATATCAGTGGCTACTTTTTTTCTCAAAAACATCATGTTTTACTACAAGCTCAGTGCTAGAACAAAAAGCATTTTGTCACATGGGTTCCCAATGGGAGAGGCTGTGAATGGTAAAAGATAACTGATAAATGGGAGCAGGTAAAGGTGAGAAAAGAGCTTTGACACTCTGGCCCACCTGCACTAAATGAGGAACAGATCATCTGCACTCCTGGTCTGGGCCGCTCAATGAATTTGCTGGGTCGCTGCCTGCACACACACATATAAAAAAACACAGAAACAATGATGAGCAGAAAGAAATATAGATTAATGATAGAATATTGGCTCTTGATGCCTATTAAAGGTGAGGGGTGTCATTTCTGCAAAAAATAATGATAAAAAAATTAAAAGCTGTCAGCAAATTAACTTAAAGTTTTTAATAGTCAAAATATAACATTTCAGCTGCATGCTACAATTACATTTTTCTCTTTTTAGTGGCTATACAAAAAGGGTCTCAAATACTTGCTCTGGGTGGCAAAGAAAACACTCCAATTCTTAAAACCCTACAGATGTGTGCAAGAATAAAGACTCACCCGAATTTGAGCGTGCGAGCGTCCCACTGCCAGAAACAGATGGTGCCGTCAGCTCCAGTGGAGGACAGAAACCTCTTATTGCCGCTACACAGAGGAGAAAACTACACACACACACACACACTAGAACACATTAGAAGGCTATGCATGTCTGTGCTATACGATCCAAAATATATTGTTAATTTGATGTAAACATACAAAGAGTTGGATAGGTAAGATTTTATTAAAGGTTGAGATTTTTTTTAAAGAAATCAACACTTCTATTTAGCAAGGATTAATTAAATTGATCAAAAGTAAAAGCAAAGCCATTTATAATCCTGTAAAATGCATCAATTTTATTTTAATTATCAAAAGGAAATTTGTTTTGATTTAGATTTTTTTGTGTATTGTTTTATTTTTATTTATACATTTTATATGAGAGCTTAGAGTTTAGACATTAAATTATGATTTCTGAAGAACAATAAAGACTTGAGCATTCATGCTGAAAATTCAGCTTTAGCATCAGAAAAATGGCATTTCAAATTATGATAGTACTTCTTAATATTAATATTTTACAGATAAAAAAACGGCTTAGCCTAACAGACTTTGGTAACACTTTAGTTTAAGTAACATTTCACATCATTTACTAATGGCTTATTATCTGCCAATTTTTAAAGTATTGTTTTTTAGCACTTATAAAGTATGATCTTATTTTACATCCCAAATCCTACCCAATACCTAAACCCAACTATTTACTTACTAACTACTAATACTAACAATTAATAAGCTGCTAACTAGTATCTTGTTAATCTTAAGGTCTTAGTTAATGGTTTGTTATCAGGGTGAATTGAACATTAAATTAAAGTGTGACCCAGACTTCTTTATTAATTTCTATGTTTATTCAAACATTATATAACTGACCCAAACATCTGAACAGTGGAGTATATTTCCAACTACTCAACGTTTTATGAAGTTCATCATAATTATTGAAGTAACTCTATTTTGATTTAAACAGTCAAAAGTCAACAGGTCCAGAAAATGACAATAACAGAGCAACACTGTACACACACAGTTAAAAGTGTCTGGTTTGCAATAATATGGACATATACAGTGTTGTGCTGGCACTTGCATTGCAGCTTAAATAAATTATGCAGCTAATGCTTTTTTAACACTATTCCGCTGTCACAGTCAGTTATGTAACTTTGCCCTCTTCCACAGTAATAATTCAAACAATAAAGGTTAATTGCTTATAAAATATTACATTTTTGCATTATAGCATAAAACCCTTATCCCGATGCTTTGTTTATTTTCACCACTCTGTTCTGCCATCAGCTGGGAAAATAATGAATTAAAAGGTCCAAGTTCCAGCCAAAGAGAAAGTAAATCACAATAACGGCAACTATTTACACCATTATGCAACAGTGGTGTGGGATATGATTGTCTTTCTCTGTAATTTACCAATCTGGGCTATTTTTTGGTACATACCCCAGCATACATTTCTGGACAGTACATCCCAGGAGCTTATTATTATTATTTATTAATTTTTTTGCAGTTTTTGTTTTCACGATTCCACCAGAGTCTGGTGTGTACAGTTTTTCAAATGTCAAAATTCTCTTGCGAATGCCATTCCCGTCTGCTTTTTTAGCGTAAAACCACCAAAGGTCAATGTGTACGCTTTTTCAGATGTCAAACTTCTCTCGCGAGTGCCATTCATGTCTGCTCTTCTCGCGTAAATCCACCAGAGGGCACAGTGTACACTTTTTCAGATCTCAGTTTTCTCTTGAAAGTGCCATTCGAGCCTGATCTTCCCGCATAAATCCACCAGAGACCACTGTGTACGCTTTTTCAGATCTCAAATTTATCTCGCGATTGTCATTCACGTTTGCTCTTCTCTCGTAAATCCACCAGAGGCCGATGTGTAAATTTTTTCAGATCTCAAATTTCTCTCGCAATTACTATTTGCACCTGCTGTTCTCGCATAAATTCACCAGAGGCCACTGTGTACGCTTTTTCAGTTCTCAAATTTCTCTAGCGAGTGCCATTCGTGCCTACTCTTCTAGCATAAATCCACCAAAGGCCAGTGTGTACGATTTTTTAGATCCAAAATTTCTCCCGCGAGTGTCATTCACACCTGTTCTTCTTGCGTAAATCCTCAAGAGGCTGCTGCCTATGCTTTTTCATATATCAAATTTCTCTTGCGAGTGTCATTCGCGCCTGCTGTTTTTGCATAACTCCACCAGAGGCCACTGTCGAACGACTGACTGACCGACTGCTCGATAAACCCACCCACCCCCTTCCCTAATCCCAACCAACAGTGCTTTCAAAAGCAATCCAGAAAAAGAAAAGCCCCCATGGCTGCCTGATTTTTACCATGTTTTCAGATCTTACCACTTCTTCATAGTTATTTACTTGATTATTATTATTTTTTTCCTTTTGTTTTTGTTTTACCTGCTTTCTGGAACCATTCTTAGCCGGCTGTAAAGGGCCATGAAACCCCCTCGTTTCAGCAGGTTGTTTTCACACCTCTACTTTGGAAAAAGTCAGAAAAGTGGGTGTGTCCAGCTCTGTTTAGGGGGGAGTGTCGGAGGAAGAAAAGAGGCTTGGTGTGGGAGTGTCTATTTGGGCGCGCTGAATTTCAGAGTCAAAACACACACCCACAGCGGACAATGTGACTGTGTTTACATGGACATCTGTAGTCGAATTATTTGCCAGATTATTAAATGGTGGACTTTAACTGCAGTTTGGCTTTTTCATTCAGGGAATTCATTCATGTCCCTCCCGACAAACTAGATATTTGATTAGAGGATCTGCTCTAAGCGTGTATTTTTCATGCAATGTTTGATACCGCACGGTGAATGAGAGAAAAAAAACTCAGCATTTCCCGGAAACTTAGATGCACACGGCAAGTAGCGTCAAAAAGCCGCGTGTGTTATTCCGGTCACTAAATCCAACACGAGGTTATAGTTTGGTTGTAACTGTTAGTGCTAACTTGTTTACACTCGTTGCAATAGTTTGTTTGATACGAATAAAATACGAACTGAATAAACAAAGAGCACTGGTCGCTCACTTACCAAATCTGTAGAGACAGGACAATCACCAGCAACTAGAGCCACGTCTTTATTAAGAGGAGACTAAAGCGAATCTGGATCTCAGCGTTTGCAGATGAGAACAGCTCTCAGGTAAACAATAATCCTCCTTAGACATGTAAGTTATTGTTGTCGCGCGTCGCGTACACTGTTAATCCACGCGTGAGTCTGCGCTCTCACAGAGACAAAATGAAAACGAAACTTAACTGCAGCAAACTAAAACTATAAAAGCAACACTTCACGCTTGTTTTGCCAATACAACGTGGCGTCTCTGCCATCTACACTCTGACAGTAATGAATATTAATGAAGTTGTACAATAGAGCGCGCTGATTGGTTTGAACCAAGCCTTACTCATACATTAATGCAACACACTGTAAGACGTAATAAGACTCACTCTGGCACAGACGCCCAGTCTGCACCCTGGAATACAACGCTATTATGTCATGGCCGTGACGCAGCTTCAAAAATTCGTTTCAAACCGGAAGTACAAATTTGCTTGAAATAACGCAAAAACAACCAATTTACACTTTTTAGTGAAATATAGGTGTCCTAATAGTGTTTTTAGCAGTGTGGGACACATATATGTCAACAGCTCAAAAAATGTGTTTTGGTGTTTCGTGACCCTTTAAACCCTATTGTCGCAGTCAACTTCTCTCTGCGTCTCAAGTCTGTAAATTTATGCGGCGAGCCACTGGGCAAACTAGTAACAGCAGAAAAGCGGTCCTCATGGAGGTAACCGGTCAGCTGGTAGCACGAAAAGAAACAGAATCCATTGGCGCCATCAAACCGCCATGTAGGTTTCATTTTAAAAATTAAATGCAGCCATACGTATCTCTGGCTACATACTGTCATTCTAGCTCTCCAGAAATGTACTTTTTTAAATGGGGTGTGTTTTCACAATTAGCCTGTGTTGCAACCTATACACCTAAAAAAGGGCCAAGATTTAAACTGATTTCACAGTAAAATTCATAACAGTAAATAGCAAGAAATGACATTAAATAGAAGTCTTCACACAAGCAATTTCTCATGCATAAGTGTGTGTGTCATGAGTGTTAAGCGGTGAATGTGAGCATGTGTCACACCTGTAATGACGTGATGGATGCGGCATGGCCCTCCAGAACCGCCAGCGGGGCGCAGGTCTGCAAACACCACACTCTGATCATTTTATCACAGCTGCCGGCCGCCAGCAGGGTGTTCTCATAATTCACAGCCATGTCTGAAATCTCTGCTGCGTGACCTCTCAGAGTCGCCAGCAAATGCCCGTCATCCGTCGCCCAGATCTTTACCAAGCAGTCGTCCGATCCCTGAGGACACACACACCAAACCCAGTTAGTATCAGCTACTTTTTAGACTGAAGACGTCTTTTGGATTGTTTGCAATCAAATAAAATGCACTAGAAAGTGTTTTTGTGATTTAAAGTCATGCAGAGATTTCAGCCAAACGACAGAAGCTAAACCCGATACTGCTCAGGTCTCTGAAATTTGCTAAATTCAATTCCAAAGGCTCAGATCAAGAGTACAATTAAATAAAAGGTCTGTGTCAAAAGAAGTACATTACCTAAGTTTAAGTCCCAAGAAAAAACTAAACTGATGTCATTCTCAACAAAACCACTTTGGAAACTTATATTATTCATAAAGTCAGCATGAAATTAAATGTACTTTATTTATTTAATTGTCTTTGTTCATGTTGTTGGTCTGATTGAGAACCACTGCTCAGTGAATATTATTTAATGAATGAAACATACGTTTATTATCAGGCCTGTCATGATTGTGAATTATATGCTGACAATTAAATATAAAACAAATCATGGGAACTACAACTGTTTTTATAAAACATAAAGTAAAATAGTACAATAAGTGCTATTTTTACTGTCTTTTTGCCACAGAAATAAAATAAACATCTCCTTGTTTTACAGTTTGTTATTTTCGGTGTGTAAAACTTGAAGGACATGAACAAGTTTTGGCAAGACATGAACAACAATATAGAGTTTTTCAAACTATTAGGCATGACAATGGTTGACTAGCATTAATTTGTGCAATTAAATTTCCCTTTTTATATTTACACCGTCAACTGTCACTGCACAATATATCAAACTGCAACTAGATCAAATAAAGACAATTAGATGAATAAATGATTCAACAGTAATGACTACTTTCCCCTCAAAACACTTTCCTTTCCTTTCAGATTTTATGATTTGCAAAACATAGATATTCAATAATGTTTTTGCTAAAATAGATCTTTAGGCACTGTATATAATTTCGGGCATTAATTGAGTTCAGATCAGACATAAAAATTAGACGCTTTTCATAAAAATGGTCTTGTACACAATGTTTCTAATAAATAAAATAGTCTTATACAGCTTTACTAATGCAATGCTTGTCATCATTATGAAAGTTAAACACTTTAAAATGTGATTACGGTTTAAAAACAAATTTGTAAATAATTGATAAATGTAAAAAAATCATTATATTAAAGACTATTGGAATCAGAATATATATATACACACACACACACACACACACACACACACCTTCATTATTTTAAACACATCTATAGTTATGCGGAGGCACAGAGTTAGACCTCTTTCTTGACAGACACAGAAACAACAATGCGTGCAGAATTTTTATATTATAAAGTTGATGACGACAGCATTGCCATAGCAAACTGTGAGATATGAAAACTTGGTATTGCCTGCCAGGTGTTTTAAGTTGAGGTGCTATTTCTTTTTATATTTACTGTTGCACTACAGTTCAAAAGTGAAGAATTTATGTTATTTCTTACTTGATAGAGTAACAGAGTTGTTGAATGTTAAAATAAGGTGACGTAAATAATAAATAAATTTCATCCTGAATCTGTTTGTTCGCTCTTCTTTATTCTTTTTTTATATATTATAATTGTATCGGATCAGGTTTCGGTCTCGGTAGATACTCAAAATCAAATGACTCAGACTTGAGGGCAAAAAAACCTGATCGGGACATCCCTCGTAAAATTGTTTTTATATTGAAATATATTTTGCAAAGAAAAAATATAACAATTATTCAATTTTGTGCAGCCCTAATAAATATTAATACAAATATTGAATAAATATATTTAGATAATTAGAAGTTAATTATTAATTAAACATATTATTAAATGGAAATGTATTTATATATGTATACTTTATTTAACAGCGTAAGGAATTATTCAAAAACATTAGAAATATTCAGCTCCGGTCTCCTCAAATGTACTTTTCACTAAACAGACAAATGTTGTATCAAGGTTTCCAAAAAAAAAAAAGATTTCAATAGTAACAAAAAAACTGACTGTACATTTTCACAGTTACAACGCAGCCTTGGTGAGCATGAAATACTTTCAAAAGAATTTTAAAAAATAATAATTCTGAACCAAAACTTCAGAATAGAAGATCGTTTGTCATCCTAATACCTCCTTAAGAAGACCTCTAAAGGTCTTACATCTAAATCTTCATCTAGCAAGTCCAACATGAATTCTTTACAATAAAAAAAGCTTTTTACCTAACAAAAAAAGCAGCACCATGGCTTTGCATTTCCATGACAACAAGCAGAGCACCATAAAAAGCATGTGCTTTTCTACCTACAGGAACTTCAGCTCCATCTTTCATTCACAGCTTGATGGAAAGACGATTTTCTCTTTAGATAATCAGCTTGCCGTTTAGCAAACACAAAAAAATTGCAGTTGTTTTCAGAAACACAAGAATTAAATAACTTTGACTTTAGCAAGCCACACATGCATATTGAACTGAGCAAAGAAAAAAGAATCCCCATGCCATACACACACACACACACACACACACACACACAAACACAAGCAAAAATTCCTGAAGATCTGTTAAACACACACTGAATGCCAATGACACACCAGCTAATGGCTCGGGAATATGAAAGAGATGATTTTATTCGTGGCTTGCAGCCAAATCCATAAAAGAAACACTTTTTTCTCTTTTGACATGCGCGCACAGACACACCCCCCTACGCCAGGAGAACGAGAAAAAAGCAGCAGAGCGAAAGAGAAATGCAGACCAAGATCGAAAGAGGAAAAGACAAAGAGAACAGAGAGAGAGATAGAGGGAAAAAAGGGAGGGAGAGGCAGAAAGAGGGGGAGTAATCCTTGCTGTTCAGCCATTTCTGGAGCATTAAAAACTTGCAGAGTAAAATGGAACCCAGGAGTGAACGCTCAAAAACACACATCAGCAAAACACACACACACCTATATGCGCGGTACTTACAGGACGCTTAACAAAAGCTCCCGCCACAGGCTGAGAGTAAGATAATGTCAGAGAAAAGGCTGAACGGAAACACGCATGCATGCCTACAGAATCTTGAAGAAGTTTTGTGACCGTGATTACAGGGCAACAACAAGTGAATGGCCTCTGACCTCTGCTCTTCTCTCACAGTCAAAACATTATCTGTCCACGTGAGATCAGAAGGCTCATAGGCTAAAAATATCTGTTTAGTCACCAGGAAAATAAGACTTTAGTTTCCAGTGAGGCTCAATGCTGAAGAAAAGCTCATTTATAACCTAACAGGATACAGAGATGGCGCTGACTTATGAAGGACACTCGCTCACTACTGTGCAAAAGTTTGTGGTCGGTAAGATTGTTTTTTAGTGACAATATGTGTAAAGTCTTACTTGGTAACATTATCTAATAAATAAGAAGTATAATTTAAAATCAGGTACTGGTTTAGTTTACAGTGCACTAACTAGTGCTAACAAATGTGTTTCATAGTGTATTAGTAAATGTTCAAATTATGTGTTTATTGTTACCTGCTCTGTGTGGATTTTTCACTGTTACCTCATGATGACTATAATTGACTGATGTTAACAGATTACACTTTTAATATTTTATATTGAGTAAAATGGCTGCTTAGTTTTAAATTTATTGAGAGTTTTAAATGTTTTTAAAGGAGTTCTTTTGCTTACCAATGTTGAATTTGTTTGATTCAAATAGTCAAAACTATAGTGTTAGGAAACAATTTTAGAAACTGCTCGCTATTTTAGTATGTAATAAACAAAAGCGTACAGAGTCATCAGAAGTGTTTTCATTAAAGCAATAAAATGTTCTAAAAATCAGTAATACAATGGAGCTTTATTTGTAAACTGAATCAGAATTAACAATGAACACTGCTGTTTATGGCCATTTTTAAGGTAATGTTAATTTGTTTTAAGGTAAAGGTAAAATCAAAAGTTGTGTTTGTAGACATAAATGCAGCCTGAAATAGGCAAGATTTATTAACAAAGGTGAATAAGTGCTGCAAAAGCATTAACTGATGTTAAAAAATGACTTTATTTTAGTATTAACATTTTTTAAAAATGTGTTAAAAAGTCACTTCTTCATAACAATGCTAGATTTAATCAAATAAAATGCAATATCTGTAACAACAAGATACATCATTAAAATGGGAAATAAATAACCTAGATTATTTTTAAACATTTTAAAACATATTTCATTCAACCAGTATTCAGTGTCACATGAGCTTTCGGAAATATTTTTTATATGCTGAATATGTATAAACTCTTCATAAATATAGAATCGGGATACTGAAATTACCGATTCCAAAGTTTTTAAAATTTAGTAACACTGCACAATTACTTGCCATTTGTTTATTAGAATTATTCAAAATTTGAATTATTCATTTATTCAAGGACGACGCGGTGGCGCAGTAGGTAGTGCTGTCGGGAAACATTTCTGTGTGGAGTTTGCATGTTCTCCCCGTGTTTACGTGGGTTAACCTCAGGGTGCTCCAGTTTCCCCACAGTCCAAAAACATGTGGTACAAGACAGGTGAATTGAGTAAGCTAAAATTGTCCTGTAGCGTATGTGTGTGAAGGAGAGTGTACGGGTGTTTCCCAGTGATGAGTTCCTTAAATCAAAGGTTGCATTTGTTACTGCTAGTCAGTGCACAACAAACTAACAAAATATACATTTAAATTTATCAACATAAATAAAATTAAATGAAAACATATTGCTTATAGTTGGTTCATTAACTAATGTACTAATTATTGCTGACAAATGCCAAAAAACAAACACTAACCTAAAATGAGTGTTAAATATTACCCTATTTCAGGTCACTAATGTAATAATAAGTCAATTTAAATGATCATGTGAGTCTTTTTTTAACAGAAGCTCAAATGATTTTGCTTCCTTTATGAAACATGATCATCCAAAAAGGATGAAAGAGAATGTGAATTTTCAGATACTAAGCTTTTATGTAATTGTACTCTTAACCAGGGGTGGACTTAGTGATTTGGGGGCTCTAAGCATCTCCAGGTATAGGGCTCTTGCACTG